CCCTTTGGATATTCTAGCACATTTTACTTGTGGATTCCCCCTCTACACTGTCACAGCTGTAACTTGTAGCACAGGCTGTGGGAGTCTAAATCTTTTCTGTAATTCATGTAATGACCCAATATAGTTCAAGTGCCCTCACAAATCCAATGGAATTTGTTTATCCTGAGGCTGATGCTCAAGCATGAACAAGAAAAATACAAATAAGGTGTTTGAATGCAAGGGCTGTTGCAGAAATAACTTTATTTGATCATTTCCATTACACAATAGCATGTTTATTATATACAAAGAGTGTCAAAGACCATATTCTTCACACTAGAACATCTATTACATAATTATATTGCAGTGTAAGGGTGTATCTTAATGTATAATGTTACATTCTGATATTCTGTCATTCATTTTGCAGGTAAAATCATTCACAGGTACCACAAGACATATCACAATGGATCAAAATGCTGAACAGCCAAAGCAAAATCATACCCATCTGGCTACAAAGTCATAATAATAACTTTGTCTTGATAGTTTTATCACTGCTAACAAAATTAATTATTTCTAATAAATGATAATTCATTATTCTTTAAAAAAGAGGTTGAACTATGAACGTCTCACCATCAAATAATTCTGCAATTAGACCAAAAAGAGATTATATAATTAAAATATTGTAAAATAAAGTTTTCACTACAGACAAAAGAGTAAGAAAGTGAAGAGAGGAAATGAGAAAAGCATGCTTTTTAAAAGCTACCACACTATTTAAAGGCTTGAATGTATCATGCAACTACCTGAAAAATAATATTATAGGTCTTTCACCTGAAATGTTGAAGTTCATTGATTTCTTAGTTTCAGGTAGTTGCATCTGATACAGGGGTGCACCAAAAGATGACTGAAATGAACAAAACACTAAATAAATCCACCTGCATGGACTGGAAGTGACATTATCTACCAATTAAATTGTTTCTGACTTGATGTCTGACTAGCATGTGTGACTTTCTCAGTTCTGGCCTGTATAATGAGATCCAGTGCAACCCTATAAAGCCTATAATCTAGATACTTTGCTTAATACCTACACTTGTGATTGGTAGCCAACATTCAAGAAGTACAATCTTATTTCTAGTGGTTCAAGAATCCTAAATCCAACATGTCATATTAGTCAGAAATCTAGGTAGAAATCATGTTACCAGATAAGTTTCCCACAGTATCCTGAGCTTCTGGTACCCCTAGGCTAGCTTCTACTGGCACCCTAGATTATGCATACTATAATAACCACAGACTCTAGTATATATAAACACAAAGAATATAGATAGAAGCACATTGTTTCAAGCATGTCAGATTTCAGTCATCAGTCTATATAGAAAACCCAAAGGATTTGAGGGAAAAAACTGATTCAACTGAATTAAATAAAGCAAAATTTGTTTATTTAACAAAAACTATGGCCAGCCAACAATTTAACAAAGCTAGTATAAAAGTGAAAAAAACAACAAAAAAAAAACAACTTTGAATATAAAAAGAAAGTTTCTGTATTTTTTACGACAAAGTTTGAATACAAGGGGGGAAATAATACGTTATACTATACAAATAGCCTGTTATCTAATGGATTATATTCTATCATTTACTCCCACTATCTTTTAAAAATTAAAAATAAAAGCATATCAATAGTAAATTGTGAAATATTTAATACCTGTTAGCTGTGCCATCAAATATCGCATTTGCCTAACTTTTTCGGGGTTTTCATGTTGGTTTGTTGTCTTTCGCGGGTGAGAATAGCGTGCACGACTTTTAAATCTTTGAACCAATGGTCAAAAGTCGAAAAAATATAAAAAAACAACGAGAATTTGCTGCAAAAACTTCGAAAAGCAAAAATATTTTTGATAAAACCAGGGGGGTGTGAAAATCGCAGCGGGCTCAGAATTGAGCCTGGTCAGTGGTAATTTCATGAGCCGGAGGAACCAGTTGTCATGGAAATGGCGTCATATGGCGCGAAAATCCGCCATGTTTTTGGCGACACTTTTTGATGCCGAGCACGTCCTCCAGTAATATAGTATAGCTCAGTGGGGTCAACCCATTGAACTATAAATAAACTGGAAGGCTAACTCAGGGGGGGAAATTGAAGCCAGTGCATTTTAGTTTTTCTGAGTTATGAGCAGAAATACTCAACACTGAACACGTTGGGCTATATATCAAATTGAAGCTATTGAAAAATGCTATTTGGTGTAGAAATTTCAAGACTTTAGCTGAAAGGGAAATATTGAAAAACTACAAACATAATTACCGATAATTTGCCGTTTTGCAGTTGTTTTTGTATTTTTTAAATATTTTTCTTTTCGCTGAAGTCTTGAAATTTCCACACCGAATAGCAATTTTCAATAGCTTCAATTTGATATATAGCACGACGTTTGGGGTCAAGTATTTCTGCTCATAACTCAGAAAAACTATTTTGGCTTCATCAAATCATAGGCCTCCATCATAGCAGTTAGCCTTCCAGTTTATTTATAGTTCAATGGGTCAACCTCGTACCCAGGGCTAGTCGCGAATTGAAGGCGGCGACATCATAGATAGGCGACATAGGCGGCGACAAGCGGCGACTGGTTGGAGTATTAGCCTGCGAGCGGGCTTTGTGGAAATAAAGACAGGGGCACAGGGGGGCGACGAAAAGTTCACGAATGGAACTTGAATTGCCGCGGATTATTTATATTCTTTTATTTTTTGTTGTAATCTTTCTTCTTAATATGTTACGTTTATATATTACGTCGAATGTACATCAATCTTCTTTTATATCGCATCATGTAAATCGCCGAGGAGGCGATGTTTCGAATTTCGAAGCAGTGAAAATGGGGCCAATCTCGTACATACTATTTGTGGTGATTTCCATCAAGTGTAAAAAGGTACAGTATATATGAATTTGAAAATGTATTTCATTGTTACAAATTATTTAGCAGATTCCCATTATTTCTTACACTGTCTAGCTCTATGAAATATATATTTCGAAGGCTATTTACTGTAATATATTTTATACAGTATGTTAATATAGTTAGCTGAATTTGTACAATTGTAGTTTATTATGTATTGTCAATATTGAGAAACACATGGCCAGACTATGGCCTATAATACTATACTCGGACTCTCAGTAAAGTTCTACTCTCACATGATTACTATTTACAATATTGATTTATCGCTGCGAGAAACGTGTTTACACTTTAATACAGTATTATTAAACTACATTTTACAGCAGTATAAACTTCAAATACTTTGTATTTACATTTATACAGTAATGACCTGAAATTATTTAAATGAGGCATTACTGTAATAACAGAGTGGCCAGGTTGACAAAGCTAAAATCTGATGAACCTAACCTGCTAGGATATTTCAGTAGTCAAACATCAGTTTCAGCACTCCAGCTGGTCAGGGATTTTTAGGGAAAAGTTTTAGCACCCCATTGTAAAACCTGCCCCTGAATCTCAAAATTTCATTATTTTGTTCCCTTGCCCCTACAATCTATATTTATACCTTTTGTGCCCTTGAGATCTTTAAAAAAAATGCCCAACTCTGCAGTATGGCGTGTAACCTTGTTGCCATATTTATTTTCTGACTTCAGGCTTCAATAAATTTCTACTCTAATACCTGACAGAGATGGGGTCCATATGTATGAACAATAAGAAATGATTTCTTCATCTATTATTGACCCCTTACCTTTCACCCAATTTTAAAATTAAATTTACTGAATGATTTTGAAGTTTTCTAGATTATTGAAAACAACTTTATGGGTACAAGAAATGGGGCGAAAACAGTTGAATTAAGCAAGATGCAAGTAACAATGAACCAGACCGGGTCACTGGATGGTATTTCAGCACACTGGTGGACATGCAACCTAATACCTGCAACCTGTGTCACATTTATATATATAGTTTTACACTGTACTGGAAAAATGTCAAGGAACTTGTAGAGATTCAGAATGCACACTTCATGGTTTATTCAATCACCAGCATGCATGAATCATTTTATGTTATGAATATTTTTTAAAAATTATTCTCACTTAGATAAAATTATATCAATTTTTAATATCATAAATGAATATATAGTAGCTTTTGATTAAACAAGTTATAATAATATATCAGCAAATAATGACTGGTCTCTCTGAAATCCATGTAGGTACTTCCACTACCACTACTTGATCTGGCAGTTGCATCCGATTGTTTGATTGGATAAATGAAACTTATCTGGTTAGAACTTTAATGATAGCAATAGCAGCAGTAAAATCTGATCTCTCTATTATTTTTTGAAGATTTGCTCTAGTCACATCAATTCAGGGTTGCCCATGCAACTTGGTTAGCACAGCTAGCTCTTCAAGTTGGCAGTCCAATTCTTAGGATTCTGCAAATTAATTCTAGAAAACTGGCTTTGGTTTGGGCTAAGCAAAAATCATCGCACTGTTTATCATGCTGATTTAGTTGTTTAACAGTTAAAGTCCAGACTGCATGTTTTTTGTCCTGCATATGGCAGATGGGACAGTCTGGTTTCCAAGTGTTTATGTGGGGAATTAATATTAATCAGGACTGGCTTCTGAGTGAAGGTCTTGCCTGCTTTATGTGAGAGCAGGCTCTATGCGAGATTCCAATTGCTACACAGCATGATCTCAGGTCTCTTCCTCTGAAACAATGCTTGGTTGCAATATCATCCAGCAAGTGCAAAAATGCACTACCACGGTCCAGGATCATTTGGCATGTTCATCGACTATGTTAACCCATTGAGTGGCGCCATGCACTCTCCACCTGATGAGTAAAATTGTCTGGTGTTAGACAGAGTAAACTAACAAAGTAGGGTGCATCTGGGTGCATTGGGCCATTCCATTCAATGTACACACCCCTATGGACGATGTACACACACCGCTAAGAAAAAAGATCAAAGTGCCGACACCAACACACACACCCCAGAAATTTTCGCCTTATCCCTCAGAAAAAAATGCAAAGATCAAAGGAGGTGCCGATGCACACAACCCCTCAGAAACGGCTTTTTCAACCCCCTCAGAAATTCTAGTCCATGGGGGGGGGATATGCCACTTAAAGGGTTAAAAACGTAAATACCACAGCACAACACTTATATACATATATACATATACAAGTAATACAACAGCAATCCTTTTATATATTTAATAGTCATATTTACATATTGGTGAAATATCAATGTCCATATATTAGGGATGTCCATGAACTTGCCCCTAGTTTGAAGCTAATGCATTCATATCTTTTGTATAAGTTGTCCCTCTACAAACCAACTTTTAGTCATTATACAAGAGTTGAATTTTAATTCATTTGCTTCGCAAGTCGCAACAAACTGAACAAAGTACTAAACCATAAACCTGTGCAACGATCGAGCGTCTTTAGCGACATATCCAAGTCTTTTAAACGTCTCATACGAACAAATCTCACTGAGTTTTTTCTACAGAAAGTATTGATCCAGTTGATCGATCGCCGTACTTTGAGAAAAGCTTGAAATGCAAAATTCACAGGGAAGATTGAAGAATTTCGGAGATAAAAACTGTTTGTCTTCGAGTTTCACCTATTCACCCCCCGGTTAAGAAAAGTAACAATTACGTAATGTTGGAGTCACGTGACCAGCGTTTACCAGGGCTACGTCGCCGCCTTCAATTCGCGACTAGCCCTGGGTACGAGGTTGTAAGGAGCTCCCTTTAGCCGGGATGACGTCAAACTCACGCGTATGGGTGCACTTTGACCTGTAGAATCCATTTCTGGCATTTCCAGAGTCACGCGATACAAGCGTCGCATTGTTTTGACGGTTTTTCGTCGTATTTCCGGTTGGGATTAACGCATATTCGGAGCAGAAATACAAAATTCGGCACTAAATGTCGAACTTTAAAGATAGAAGCTTGAAAATAACACTATACGTGTTATTTTTAACTTCTTAATACATTAAGAAGATCAGAATGAGCATACGTCTCAATGGGACGAAGTTCTATTCGGCGAAAGGTATGTTTATGTTTATAATTTGTCGGTAATATTGCGTAATTTGATCATATACGAGCTCGGTTGACTTTCAAAGCTCATAAATCGTTATAATGTTGCCATTGACTAAAACTATCGTTACGAATGAAGAGATTTCGTTGCACTGAATCGAATGGTGGGATTTTTGTCCACATAGCATTCAACGAACCGAAGATATGACATGTCAAAGTCGTATTGTATGAGTGCCATACGATAATAGGGTCGCGCTGAGAAAGAGTTAATATCTCAATCACGAAAACTAGAATCTATAACCAAGACTGAGACTATCCCTTCGCACTGTTAAAACGTGATTTATTAAGACTCCAACACATTTTTTTCTCCAAGTACCTCAACAATGCAGAAAATGCCATTTCAAAGACCTAAAATTATACTTTCTTCGCGGGAAGCATGGCCCCGGAACCCCTGGAATCCCTATATATGTGACGTCACAAATTATTAAACGCTCCCTCCCCAAATCCTGGCGGTGCCATTGGTGTGTCATGATAAATAGAAAGTTTACGATTCACCACGCGGCAAGAGAAGACGCGTTAGAAAAGCGTGATACTGATTAGCCGCGTGACTTATTTTGTTCCCTACGTTACGAAATACAACACGCTAGCATAAAACGTTTATTTTGACGGGAAAATTACAGGTTTTTCACTTTTACAAAATCTTTGCAATTTTTGTTTAAACACTACAGAAAATGTAGGAACTACTCCATCAAAAATAAGAAAGTTAAGAAAGTTAAATTCACGTTTTCAATGTAAAAGTATTCGATACTCACTTGGAATTCGCAGCGTAGTGATCACAACGAGAAATTGGCAAAATTGGGTCGTCGACTACGCGTTGGAAAGACGAGTTGGCCGCGCTAGTTACCAAGCCTCTCTAACGCGTCTTCTGCAGCCGCGTCGTGAATCGTAAACTCTCTAATCAGCATTCGCGTACGCGGCGTTTCGTCCCCTATAGACTCATCGGCGGGGAATTGAGGTTGACACGTATAATTATCCAAAGCCTATTAGGCTACATTCTTTGCGTTTTAGTAATGAACATATTGCATTTCTCAAAATTTTGTTCCACATAAAAAAATTTAATTAATTAGTTAATATAATTAATTAATAAAATTTGCGAACATTCTTCAGTTCGAGGATAGATATTTTAATGTTTAAGATTATATATTTTAGTTTGGCAAGAAAAGGTTTAGCCGTTTGCGATTACATGCTACTGAGGTTGTGCGATTATTTTATTATATGGGCGCTTATTATGTACACAGTAAGACCGGTCAGACAAGAAATTTCGTTTCTATGTTCATTGGAAAGATCTGGGATACGTTTTGTTTTCCAAAATGCAAATTTGTTTTCCAAAATATTGTACATTTTAAGAATTTCTTTACTATTTGGGTAATTCCATGTCAATTCATCCAGGGGGTAGAACCACCCCTCTTGGATTTTATTCAAATTTGGAGGAAATAACAAGCAACATGAGACATGCCAAAATCCAAAATTTCATACTTGTAGCTTAATTAGTTTCCGAGAAGTCGGACTTTGTATTTTGAGAAATTTGATCAAAAATGGGTGTGGCCCGAGCAAAAATTCGCGGGTAGCGGTTCAGTAAAATAGTAATAAAATCATGGTTATTTGAGCTATTATTATAAAATTTGGGGGATTACATAATTTGATGCTGTAGAATTCAAAAATGATATTAAAAATTACTTACAACCAATAGGAGAGCTGTTATTGCCATGGCAATTAAGTTTTTTTTCAAATATGCATCATGCCACTTTAAGTGAAAATTTTGGAATGTGGCGGACATGATACAGAATTTTTGATAAAACCATGTTAAAGTACTCATGTTCATGAGCATTGTAGGGTAGTTTCATCAGTAGTTCTTCTAGGCTTCAAAAGTTACACCAACTTGAAAATATGTACCCAACATCATTACGGCACCTCATTATAGATGCTTGTAAGTCACATAATCACACTGATAAATAGGGAATGGAACTTTTTTTACCTTAGAGGTGGAAAACTTTGTTTCCTTTTATTTCTCAAGGTCCAAACTGATTATTCTGGTGTAGTCACTCTCACTAATTTTATACGTCCGACCAGTTGTTGTGTCGGGAGTGTCCACTTTGCATATGAACATGTCAAAAGGCACCCAACACTGATCATCTCTTGTTGGCCATGTAAAGTCTAAACTTGGCCCATGTGGGTGCATGAATTTGACAAGAATGTCTTCCTGCTCTTGGTCTATTTCTTGAACCAATCCAACCCACCAGAACGAGTCATACTGGCAGGCGATGAATTCCATGATCTTCACATCACAAACTTGATCAGCCGTCACAGTGTCAAAAAATTTAAATTTTCCAGCTTCAGCTTCATCATCACTAACTCTCTTGTAGCTAACTTCCCCTTCAGAAAGAGGAGAAAAATGATGATAACTCCTTGTACCAGGAATTGTTTTTCCACTTTCAAATCTAGTATACAGCATTGGTCTGATCGATGTCATATCTATTTTTGTAACCTTCAGAAATTTGATACCCTTAATGTGCAACTCACAATACTCGAACATTTTTTCCATGGACAATATTTGATCAGCTAAAGGTCTCTGCATACTAGCTCTTGCAACAAGTCGTTTAACTGTACCTCCAATACCATCACAGGGAGATTTTCCATGACTGGTTGCAAAGAATGCCCACCTTGCAGTTATACCAAAATCAATATAATGATGGCAGAGATTTATAATGTTCTTAAAATTTTTGTACTGTCCAGCACAACCATCTGAAAAATATAATATGTCCTTAACATCAGGAAGCTCTCTTTTCAGGTATTTTACAACCTCTTCTTGCACTTTATAAACAAAACAAGTGTCGTGTTCCATGTCATCAGATATCACACAGATAGAGTCACAGTGAAGTTTACCATCCTTCATGTGGTATAGGGCAACTGGGTGTAGGGTACAACCGATTTTGTTCCAATGAAATCCTTGGATTTCATCCTGGACCATAAACTGATAATTCTCTGCAAAGTCAAGCAAGGCAATGCACGAGGTTTCGCTCAGGTTGTCTTTGAGATTCTTCAAGTACCTGGCTTGACTCTTTGCTATAAAAGAATGTACAGTTAACTTAGTGATAGCATTAACCAGAAGTTCAACAAATTCTTGAGCAGTTGTTGTTTGGGTACATAACATAGCTCTATCAGTCCCCTGCCATTGCTGGAAAGAAATTTCTTCTAGTGAGTCAGCAAACATTTCATCTAAGTACTCTCTCAAAGCATTTTCTCCTGGACAATTTTCACAACGATGGATCATGCACATCTTGTTGTTTATATCGCAGACGACCATCGCCATGAGGTCGTGATAGTCTTTGTCAATGTTTGTTCCGTGCACTAACAGTTGTGCATTTTGATGGCTGGTACAAACACAAACAGAATGAGTCCCTGAGGAACCAACAGAAACACACCACTTGGGTCTCAGGCTGCAAAATTTCGAAAAACCAACCTTTGCATCTGGATATCTTTCTTTAAATGCACTGTACAACTCCTTTAAATTACAGAGGAGTAGTCTTCGCTGTTTATGTACATTTCTTGAGACACTAACGTAGTCCTTTTTACCCGGCATAAGTCTTGAAAATTCGTCATCTTCAAAAAAGTTAACAACAAGTGATTTGGTGTCTTCCTGAAGTGTTTTGCCTTGTCTTGGATTTGGTACCGATATAATTCCCTTTTCTTCTTTCAATTTTCTAGCAGCACGAATAGTATATTCTGGCACTTCAAAAAAATTAGCAGCTTTTTTTCGGGACCATGACTCAGGTGTAAGTGTCAAAATTTGAATTTTGGTTTTGTAATCAGATATTTTGAGCTTTTCCTTCATAAGATGAGTTAATCTATCTAAATCAGCAGCTTTTTCTTGTAAGGTGGGTGGGATTTTTGCACGAGGGTCATTTCTTTTCAATTCTTCACAATCAACATCGATCGCAGCTGCCACTCTTTCCTCAATTGATGCACATACTCGATCTATTTTGCCCTTTGCCTCATTGATTTTTCTTTGCTTTGATAGACCGTGTGTTTTTATAGGAGAAACTGCTAGCTCCTCAAAACTGGTGTTCATCACACCTCTTGCAGCCTCTTTTGTTGCATCTCGTTCAAATTCTGTTATTTCATAGTCAATCTCATCACCTGCTTCTGCAGGCTCGTCATTTTCTTGTTCTTTTCTGGCCTTGTGAAAACAATTTCTACAAAGTTGCCAGCCAGGTATTACATCTATCCCTTTTTGGCTAAGTTGCTTTGCCAAATGAAGGGTGATAATATGGCTGCCTTTTGCCTTTGCTTTATGAGAGTTGAAAATATTACAACATTTGTTGAATTTTTTTTCAAACACGTTGCCATACATTTTGCTATGATGCATACAAATAGTCATATTTGTTTTATCTTGTTGATGAGCAATTCTTGCCCTCATGAGAAATGTTTCTTGTACATCTTCAGAATAATCACTAAGATTTTCCATACCTTGTTTTCTTGTATACGAAAGCTTATGGCATTCATCTCCAACAGTTTCACCAAAATCACACTGACTTAAAGTGGTGTCAATATCCCATGAATATTAATTTAAAAACTACTTAGAAATTGTTCAAATTTTATTCAAATTTTTAAAACACAATTAGGAAAACACATGGTAAACATAGTACTTCCACAATGTTAGAACAAATTTCCTTTTTTGTGCTAAAAAGTTCCTGATGTTCTGATATCAATGTTATATGATAGGTATAAATATTAAATAATAACTAATAAATTGTATGAACAGAATGATGAATTATCAGCATCTATCATCTATAATAATGTTGCTTAAGGGTAAAAACATCAATTTGGGTACATATTTTCAAGTTGCTGTAACTTTTGAAGCCTAGGAGAACTATTGATGAAACTACCTTACAATGCTCATGAACATGTGTACTTTAACATGGTTTTATCAAAAATTCTGTATCATGTCCGCCACATTCCCAAATTTACACTTAAAGTGGCGTGACGCATATTTGAAAAAAAAATTAATTGCCATGGCAATAACAGCTCTCCTATTGGTTGTAAGTAATTTTTAGTATCAGTTTTGAATTCTACAGCATAAATTATGTAATCCCCCCCAATTTTATAATAATAGCTCAAATAACCATGATTTTATTACTATTTTACTGAATCGCTACCCGCGAACTTTTGCTTGGGCCACACCCCTTTTTGATCAAATTTCTCAAAATACAAGGTCCGATATCTCGGAAACTAATCAAGCTACAAGTCTGAAATTTTGGATTTTGGCATGTCTCATGTTGCTTGTTATTTCCTCCAAATTTGAATAAAATCCAAGAGGGGTGGTGTCATTTTCAAAAATTTCTGGATGAATTGACATGGAATTACCCAGACGAAAACGTCCACGTTAGTTCTATATTTCTCAGATAGTCAGATCCTGAACAAAAAACGATGTACAAAATATATCCGTACGAAGCACTAATATTTCCATGCTTGATACCGCGTTACGGTGTATCTAAGAATTGGAATTCACAGAATAAAGAGATGATTTTATATTGGGTGAAATGGAATTGGAAGTCTGAAGATATTTGTGCCGCTTCATTTGATTGGCCGGAATTAATTATGTTCGCATGAGTGACGATTGAAGTATCGACCTACAGATTATATTACATACATGCAACACCTATTCTCGCAAGTGGTTTTATAATTATCACAGTGTTGCAATTCGCTGATCAACGAGTTATAAGATTGTAGCATTATGTCTAATGTCAGTTTGAAGCTTTGTGATCTAATGGAGTTCTCAAAGATGTGTGCCCCTGAATACAATATGCCTGAGTTAAGCGACCGAGTCTTGGTGTTTGATGTTATGCAAGACGGCTGGATAAGTGCCAGAATTCTCAACGATGTTTCACCTTCTGAACCCAACGAAATACTAGCTTCGACCTCCACGTGTGATGGTTCTAGTGAAAAGCAACTTTTGGAAAAACCCGAAGAGCCTCAAAGCCATAAAATTGAAGTCAAAGGCGATGAAGCAGAAACCGGAAGAAATCCCGGAAATCAAAGCGAAAACGAAAGCGAAGGTATGCAGGACTTAGCCTGCGAACAGGACTCGAAGACCAATGAGATCGACAGCCCGACAATTCAAGATTCTACCGAGGGCGTTGCCACGAAAGCCGAAAAGCCAAACCGAAACTCAGAAAATTTAAACGAACCACTAAGGCAGCATAAGATATATGTCCATAGTTTCTGGCTTTCTGTTCAAAGTCCATATTTTCGATCGCTGTTTTATTCCAGTGGCATGAAGGAAAATGAAGACAAAGAAGTACATGTTAAAGTCTCGGAGTCCGAAGAAAATGCGCACCTTATTCTCCTGGAAGCCATGTACCGTGATGATGTGGTGAATGACAAAACGGTGGACGGTTCGCTCGACGTCTTAGAGTTGGCCAACAAGTACGACCTGAAGTTTGTGTTTAAGAAATGCAAGTATGTTCTTCAAGAGAATGCCACTACTTTCGAGATAAGCACACAAATAATGGACGTGATTAAAGTGAAACACAACATGGACGATGTCGAAGATTTGGCAGCAACTTTACAGTCGGTTCTTGTCCAAGAGTTAAGTCCCTTAGATGAAAACTGGCAATCTGAAAAATTTTGCAGTCTGTCAGAACCGTCTCTGAAATATTTACTAAGCAGTGATGATTTGATTGTCGCATCGGAGAACACTGTGTTTCATACTTTAATGCACTGGATGGAGCAAAACGATGTCGATCCTGCCAGTTTGGAAGAGACGAATGATCTCCTAGCTGTTGTCCGGTTCAAGTTGATTACAATTGACTATCTGTATAATGTGATCAACAATCATCCAATTGCTTCCAAGATGCCAAAGTTTAATGAGCTCTACCTCGGTGGAATGACATACCATGCAATTCCTGCAGAGCAAAAGAAGTTGTTGGAACGGCAGCCTGTAGCAAGAAAGGAACCGGAAGGAATAATTTATCAGCATGTTGCTGTTTATAAGGAACAGGATTTTGAAACTGCAAGAACAACAGGAACATTCAAATGTTCAGACGAGTTTTGGGCATGTGGTTACAAGATGAGCATAGGTCTAACTTTATATGATAGTACTTATGGTATGATGTTCCCACAACTGAGTGTTCACAACTTAAACAAAGAAAGTTTAGTGCATCTTAATTTTGCATTCACAGTGACGAAAACCAACGTCCGATGGAAGAAAAAACAATTTGGGATGACTTCTTGTAGCGAACAATTTTCTCAATTGATTGTCAATCAACAATGCAACGTACATGTAGCTATAAAGTCATTGACATTATAGTACATTTGATGAACCTTGACCTTGTATTAAATTCGAAACGTCACTTTCAAGATTTATATTGAAAGCTTAAACCCTTTATATTCACTATTAGATTTATTAAACATAAAGACTGCCAGTCTACCAATACATTTATTGTATGATGATTTAATAAATGTGCATGCATGTCAAATAAATTATATAAGGAACAGCAAAGAACCAAAATTACAAGGTCTGCATGCATATTCTAATTCGTTCGATATAAAACGACACCTGATTTTTTGTTAACTTCAGCGAATCTGTGTAAATATAATAAGATTTTCCCCACTTATTCTGAAATAGATAATCTGTATTTTCATGTTTTCATGTTATTTATGAAATAAATAAATGGATAAACTGACCGCATTTAGTTTTGCGTGAAATTTATTTTGTGTATTGATCAAGGATGGCAAATCTTCTTATATTATTTCTTCTTATATATCTTCTTATATTATTATAAGAAGATTTTATTGTTGACCACATTTCTTCGTACACCCTCTTATATTATTATAAGAAGATTTTGTTTTTGACCAAATTTCTTCGTATATCTTCTTGTATTATTTTATTTTCTGTAGCTTTGAAAAAAATCGAAATTGTAAAATCAGTAAATTTAGATTATAGTAGAATACTTCATTCAAATATACAAATCTCCAAAATGTCATTAAATTTTTGCTTGCAATGAATGTCGAAAATCTTCTTATATTACAATAAATATAATAATTAAGAGGATTTTTTTCTGAAAAAATCTTATATCTGTCCCTGGTATTTATTGATGTAAATTTAGTACTTTTATAAGTATTTCCGTGCGTATACGTATGTATGAAAAACTAAAATGCAGCCTTGGTGATTTTGATGTTGTAATTGGCGAAAATATCTCTTCAAATAAGTATATATAGAAGGCGATCCTACATTTTGGCGGTGGATTCTTTTGCCAACCAATCACATTGCTGAAATTTGTTTGTCATTTCCTTTCACAAATACACAGGTATTACCTTATGAGAAAGCAAAACTAAACGAACTCATCAGGACTGACAATAAGGTAAAATTGTTTTTGTAATGAGTATATAGGCGACAATGTGGTTCCCTTGCCCCATCATCTTCCCAGAGCCCTGCCAGATCAGAACTGCAGAGTTGGTCAGAGCCGCCCTCGTGATATTTTCAGGAAAAAGTTTAGCGCCTTCTAGCATAACCGCTTCATATAAACAATTTTCAGACTCTGCCCCCAAATCTCAAAATTTCATTGTTTTTATAAACTATTTGGTATTATAATAATAATAATAATAGCTTTAATGTGAGCAAATCGTAGTGCAAGACTAAATTAAATTTACCCATTACAATGTTACTTTAGAAAGGTAAAAAAGGAAACAACCACAAACATTAAAACTAAGATGCTCTTGACTGCCTCTTGTTTTCTTGATGTGCCCTTGCCCAGATGTCCCAGAGACCATATCAAGAACAACCTAAATTTACAGCCTGTCATATAATCTCAGGGTGTTAGCCAGAAAAAGAAAGTTTTGTCCGTTAAACGTAAATTGGGAAAGGTTTTTTGACCGATCAAAGTTCTTGTATAGGAATAAATAGTGTTTTTTCCAACGTGTTTCTCCTTAGATGCAAACAACGGTAGCTTGGTTTTGTACAAATCATTTCCGGTGAATGAACACTGAAAAATGCACCCGATGGCACTTCGTTTTGTACATTTCATTTCCGCTGTATTGACACTGATGCACACCGATTACACTTTGTTTTGTACATTTCATTCAGTCAGTGAATACACACCCAATATGAATGAAACGCGATACATTTTGAGAAAATAGTTAATGCGAAAATGTAAATAAAACGTTCTTTGATATAATAATATAAAATCAAACGCAATGCACTTTTTCATCAGAAAAAATGAAAATCTTCCAGTAGACCCAGTTGGGAAAGGCCCTTAGCTACTTCAATTGGGAAGAGTCCGTCAAACGGACAGTATATGGGCTAGCTAACACCCTGAATCTTGACTGGTCTGTGCCAGTTTATAGGTAGTGGTAATGATAAGAAAGCTTCGGATTGATAGGGATACAACTATCGAGCGAAGGCCGTTCCCGACGAAGGCCGTTTTGCTCGAAACGTCGAAATTCTCCTTGGATTTTTTAAGTAGTTGCATCCCTATCAATCCGTAACTTTACGGTCTGGCTGCCTGAGAATCTTAAAGAAAATATCCATGGACGGTTACCCACATGGTGAGACTGCACCTGTGATGCTCCCCACCACGGGGAAATTGGGAAACTCCGCACTCTCTTGTAGATGCGTCTAGGTAGACCATGCAGTTAATTTGGCTGCATGTTGTTGACTTCTCTTTTTTGAAGGTATTTAATAAAGTCATGATGGTGTTCTCCGCTCTCTGCTCCGAGATTAGTGAACTCAAACACGAGGTATTCATACGCTGTATGTTTCAACACAATTTGATTGAGTCTTTCACCACAGTGTGCAATTAAATTTAGGATCATTTTGAATTTTTAGGCAGAGAACAAGTTTTATTTTCCATTATTGCTGTTTGAAGAATCAGGTAATGTTTAGGGTTTTTTTGTTTTCCCAAATTTATTTGGATCAATAATGCCTACAATATGTTATCAAGTCTAAGTTACATAAGAAGAAATAACTTATAAATCGAAGATCCAAAAAGGCAAGGTACGAACAGGACTCTTGAAAAACGACCCATGCAAAGCACCTGTCGAGAATTTAGATTTTATGTACTTAGGGACCGGTCATAAAGTAACTGCTAGGGTGGGCTGGAGTGATTTGGGATGGGCCATGGAAAATCTTTGGGCAGTTTCGATGGGCCGCCAATTTTTTTGTATGTCCACGGTTGGGCCACCAAACGAAAACCCATGCATGTCTACTTCAAAAAATAAAGATATTAATAATAAAAGTAAACAAAACTATGTAAATTATCTAATGCAAATGATGCTATTGAAGCCAGTACTTTGTTTTATACAACAACAAGAAGTGGTCGAATCACAGCAAATACAACCAACTGGAGAACAGCTCAGTAGCAATGTGTTGGTCAAGCTTGGTGGAATTATGTATGTCAATACAGTGCCGTGTATATTTATAATGTTCATACCTGCAAGTTTTTTTATTATAAAAGTGTATTTTCCCAATTTAGATTGGGTGGGTCATGAAAATTTTTTTGTAAGATTAGATGGGCTTTGAAATTTTTATCTACATCCTAAGATGGGTCACCGAACTTATTGGCAAAATTTGTGATTTACCTCCAGCCCACCCTAGCAGTTACTTTATGACCAGTCCCTTAAATGTTAAACATATTAGTATACTGTATATTAAAAATTCTTAAATGGAAAAATGAATTAAGAAAGAAAGTATGTAATAGGGAGTGTAGATCGATTGAGTAAGTAAGCAAGACATGCATGCATGCATGCAGAAAGACAAATAAGAAAGACATAGACAGATGCACAGACAGAGGAGATAAACAGACAGATATAGACAAACAGGCAGATGGGTGGAGAGACGGACAGACAGGTTTAGGGACCGATCATTATTTATGGTGGGGGGTGGCACCGAAGAGAAATGTTTTTCGTGGCAAAAATTTTGCTGACCCAACCATTAAAAAATCAAAAATTTGATTACCCAACCTCAAGTATCATTTAAAAAATAAATACCCACCCCTGGCCAAAAACGTTACAAAAGGATGTCATTCAGTTGTCACACATGACAGTCTCCCTCGCAGACGTTCTTACTAGTCCTTTACTACTTCTGTGATACGTTTGATAACGTTCGGCTTGTGAATGTTTGTTAGTTTGATAACGTTCGGCTTGTGAAATTTACTGACTTTTCTGCAGTCTAAAGTTTCATGTTGTCTGCACATTTACTTTCTTTGGAGACACCATTTGTCTCCCAACAAATCGGAAAATGATGAAGATATGACTGTTGACATTGAAGTTTTCAGTCTTCAATATTTGAGTGAGTCATGCTTTGGAAATGACAATAAATTTTTATTACCCAACCTTTGAGTTGTTTCGTTTTTCATTTACCCAACCTTTTACTTACTCAAAATTTTATTTACCCAACCCTTTTCTCTTCGGTGCCACCCCCCGCCATAAATAATGACCGCTCCCTTACCCAGCTATGTCGTGTGGCAGTAGCGTGCTAAAGACCACGTACATTTTAATCTATATAATGTCATTTCATTTTCTTAACTGCATATTAAACCCAAGCAATATACTGTTGTGTGATCATAATTTCACTTGCATGTGACAAGAGAGCTTGCTTTTTGACTCTATACCAAATTCGGCAGGTTTTCTCCAGGTACTCTGGTTTAGGGTACCTATAATACTGGTGAGGTTCGGATTCGACGTCCGCTACCATTAAAAGGGACCATTAGCCAATCAGATGTGCTTGATGTATCCGATCAACCAATCAGATGCGTTTGATATATCCTATCAACCAATCAGATGCGTTTGATATATCCGATCAACCAATCAGACGCGTACTAAGCCAATGAGAGGTAATGGTAACGGTAGCGGAAGTAAAATCTGAACCTCTCTACTGTACCAATAATGGATGGTTGTTTTAGAACAAGCTTTAGCTGGTAATCCCATATTCTTCTCATGGTGATTATTTTTGAAATCCATTTCAGTTTCAGATACAGCTTTACCAGAAGGTGATGCTCAAGTCAAACTTGGAAGATTACTCCCTTTGTTACAGGTGTGATATCTGTGCTGTAATAAAATTCCAATTAGTGGGTTATTTTCTGTATATGGTAAAATGGTTCACCTCCATGAAAAATCTTTCCTCTATTCTGAATATTTGCCCGCTCTGAAAAATCTGCACCCCCTGAAATTAGCTTTCCCCTTCCCCCTCGCCTTCTCTGAAAAACCTGTTCCTTCCCATCATTTGCAAAATTCCTTGTGGAACTCAATAATAATTCATGAAGAAAACACAAAAGAAATCATGAGCGCGAAGGAGTTGTATATCTGAAACAAAATCGTGCTAATTTACATCAACTTTAAGTTCAATTTTCTCATCAAATATCATTCGTTTATTTTAAATTGTTGAAGAATACGAATGTTCTCAACACGGCCGCTCATGTTGTAAAAACTACATATAAACCCTGGTGGAAAAACTTGAGCACGATCCTACAAGATCTTTTGGGATTCTGTTTAGCAATTATTGCTGTTTTCATGTTTAATAGGAAATATCAAGTTTTGTGTATCGAGCAAGTGAAGTGGTCAAACATGTTGTGCAACAGTTATCTTTATTATATGCTAAGTATGTGGATCAAATACAGGTTATAGAAACATAGGGTGAAGATTTTGATTTTTACCAGCTTGACACAATAAAGCCCCGTTTACACTACGCTCAATTTTTGGTACGGCACGGATAAAATTGGTACCCGTACCACTTTTTTGGTTCTTGGACTACCTATTTAGGTAGTCCAAGATCCAAAAATTGGTACGGTACCAAAAATTGAGCGTAGTGTAAACGGGGCTTAGCTAAATAGGTAGTCCAAGAACCAAAAAAGTGGTACGGGTACCAATTTTATCCGTGCCGTACCAAAAATTGAGCGTAGTGTAAACGGGGCTTAATGCATTTACTTAATTTGCTTGTTCAAATTAAACGTACATTAATTAGGTGGGTTTGTAGGGCAACAAATGCACAATAAAATCTTTATGATTTGTGGAAATTTGGGGCATAATTTAAAGTGGTAGTTGGTAGTACACCCCCTTGAAAATATGCACATCAGATGAGCCTGAACCCCCTCCCTCTGGAAATTATGTACTTGCTCATTAATACTACGGTTGAATTTTTATTACGTTCCCTTATATAGGACAGGTGTAAGGGTACTTGATGTTTCTGGTGTTCATCTCACGGTAAGTACCAGGTGATCTCGGAACTCGGAAAAGGCCTGGCACTAGTTGTAAAATAGAAATCCATTTCTGGTTTAAAATTACTCAATATCTCATTAACGGTATTAGATTTCTATTTCAAATTTGTCCCAGACATTCATTTCCCTGTGCAAGACACAGACACAGAGTTTCAAACAGTTTCACAAAAGAATCAGGGCATGACAAGTGATTAAAGGTACGAAACTGGATTTCTATTCTGTTGCTAGTCCCAGTCCTTTTGCTCACCGTCAGATCACCTGGTAACAATAGAGTAGCTGAAATGTGGAGGTCCAGTGTAGCTAGTATTTTACAATGAGCTGTGGTGGTTTGTGTCTGGCCTACCTGAATGAGATTAAGGAAACCAAACACCACATTGAAGTGTTTTCTGTGATTTTCTTTCCAGACTGTATTTGAACATCTTGGAGAGTTATTGACGGTTCTTATCACTCTCGATGAAATTATGAATGAATGTTCTGGCATTCATGAAAATTGGAAAAGATACAAAAGGTATAGTTGTGATTGATTATATATCAGCAAAAATATTTTACTTAAATTTTTCACATTTTTCTGTAGAATGCTCAAGTCAGTTCAACACAATCCAGGCGTATTCAGTGTTAATCCAGACAAGTTGAAACCGTTAGAGAAATGGATCATGAAAATAGAAGGACAGATTTTAGATGGCTTGATCTTTGATGTATGTATACAATGTATAAAATCATCAGACACATTTCAGTGTGGTTTCCAAATAAATAATATTTACATTCAGGTTTATACTTTATAGAACTGTGTAAAACAGATATTTGACACAGCGACATTCCCAGTGAGCAGTAATCGTGGAGTTTTTGATGAGTTCCTTCATAATCTTCAAGTTATATTTTCAACCATTGAACCAAAGCTTGGTAGGTATTAGACAGACACATAGACATCGGATATTTATATATATTTTTTAAGGTTTAGTTATGTTAACCCATTAAGTGTCAATGCACCCGGATGTACCTTACTTTATTATTTTACTCTGTCTAACACCAGATAATTTTACGCATCAAGGGGAGAGTGCTGCTTCTCAATGCGTTAATCCAGTGGTATAGTGTCTTAGTGCATTGCCGAGGAACACCCACGCCAGATTAGCAAGTATGTTATTTAAACACAACCTCATTCCCAAGCTCTTTTGACGCTAGGGAAAACCCTGGGAACGAGAGTTGATTCAAAGATTAAGGACTCGTCCCTCATCAGTGCTTTTCAGAGATAGATCACGTCGAGTCTTATGCTATATTACCCAGGGTGGAGACTATAAATTTTGAAATATTTTTCAACAGATTTTTGTGAGAAGGAAACTGGCGTATACCCCAAGAAAACCCGTGACCCCAAGATGAACGCGACACTCTCCCCAACCACCTTGCTGAAACTTTCCAAGCGTTATATTACACTGATCTGGCCCTTCCGAAACCGAGACACGAATTCCTAAAAAAAAGCTTTAAGTACAGTGGTGCTAAACTTTGGAATAGCCTTCCGCGCGAAGCTAATGAAGCGCAATCAACTTACTCTTTTAAAAATATTGTAAAACAATTATATTGTTAGATTGAATCAAATATCCAACCGGGTCACACCAATATAATTTAATCTCCTTTTATAAATCATTTGTAAATAGCTATACATTTTTCTTCTTCTTTGTAAATATCTTTTTCTTGTGCTAGTGACGCCCCTTGTGGAAATCAACTGTTGCTGTTGACAAGGCTAGCGTCATTAAATCAAGTTTTACATACATACATATTCTTGCTTTGTCCATATTTCATGTCTTCCTCATATCTTGAATATTTTCCAGGAGAGAGTGGTGAGATCGATCAACGCAAGTCATTTGTTGGTTTCCTTGGCCTTTACAGTTTGTATGTACAGATATTTAGACAGGTTGACAAGAAATTCATCAAACAGATTTGGGAAGTACACAGAAAGGTACGAATGTCTAATAGAAATCCAGATGCAGTTCCGTTTAGAAATAACAAAAACCGTAAATAATACATGATAGATCGTTGGGTGGACCGTTGAATGGCCACTGTAATAAACGTCAGCCTCTCTGTAATTGACTACAAATGTTTAAAATGTTTCTAAAAAGTATTTATATGTTCTTATTTTGAATGGTGCAACCGAAGAAGAGTTTTTTATCTCAAGAGGTAAACTATTGTATGGTAGATCGTCTGATTGTCAATTTATTTCTTAGGTTCCTGCTATCCATTTGGTCGGAAACATCATGTTCTTTCCAAACGAGTTTATTCAATCAAAGATCCCACAACTACAGAAGTTTATTGATCGAAAGCAAGAAGCAGTCGTGAGATCATCGAGAGAAAGTTTTCTCTCGGCAATGAACCAAAATTTGCCCAGGTACATGTAGAATACGAGAGTTAACGTTTTTTCTAGAGTTAAAATTTGATAGTGTTCAAACTAACTTCGTAACGTGAACAATGAACAGTTTGTGTCTCTTGTGCAACATATAATCGATTTTGTTCTCAAAATCGATCCCTTGTTTTTAAACCTTCGTACTATAGAACGTCCACTTTTCAGGCTTCGTTTTTCAACCGAGTAGTTAAGCCTTGGAACCATGTTTGTAAAATAGCCTCTCCAAAAACGTTCACCAGCCTAGTTATTTTTAAACACTTCCTGCACACGACATACTCCAACTTGGTCAAGAATACTTTCAATGTAAATATACCATGCACTTGGTCACTCACACGAGATTGAAAATTACCATGTACTTACACTGTACCGCCAACACTGAACCATATTACATACAAAGAAAAATCTTTGGGCCCTTTTAACCTTTTCCTTGTTGTCGTTAGGGAAGCAAAGAATTTCAATCTACAAGTGAGTTCATGGATGGTGTTGATGGAATCATGTTTCAGTAAAGAAGAAAGCCTAACTGAAAATCTCAATGCACGATGTTCGTTGTTTCTCAAGGTAGGAGAGTTTTCATTGTTTCAGTCCAGGATGCGACAATTCTAGATTTGTATTCGTACCTGACTGATACTCCAATGATTATTGCCTTATACTTGAGCTCGTGCAAACTTTAGACTCAATGTGTATACTTACGCCTGCATGTATTCTAAACGCTCACTCACACTGAAAGAGTGGAGGTTCAATCTGAGCTTCCCTTGAGTGTCAATGCTGTTTTTGAATAGCCGGAGGGTTAGTGTCGTACCTTACTATGTGGCTACTCACCCTCCAGCTATTCAAAAACAGCATTGACACTCAAGGGAAGCTCAGATTGAACCTCCACTCTTTGAGTGTGAGTGAATGAGCTTTTAGAATACAGGCGTTAGTCTTTAAAATGAAGTACATAAAGTGCAGGTTTCTGAAAGGTATTCATTCAGTAACCTGGAACTACGAGTTGGAATGAGAAGGACGACAATCGCATATACAAAACACTAGAATCGACTCCAACATTGCTTAGTCCCATCAGTCATATTTCATGCCAAGATATGTCAGAGGTACCTATATATATGTTTGACTACCTTTGGGTTTGGTAAGGTCACATGCATGGTACCAGCACAATGTAAATACGCAGAAAGCAACATTATTTTCTCACTCGGCGGATCAATACACCCTTTCGATAATTACGTCATTTGACTTGAGAGCCTCGCTCTCATGAATCGTGAGCCAATCACCTTGTGTAATTTACTAATGAGAGCGAGGCTTCAAGAGCAAAAAGTATGTGTGACGTAATTATCGAAAGGGTGTACTGGCTGCATGATTTCGATAAAATCCAGTTGTGATCCTTTGTAGGGAATTTTGTATGCCTCAACCATCAGTCATCGTGTCAAGACTGTCATGAATCTACATCTCGCCATGAATGTCCCAATGACAAAATCCGCCGTGTTGGCGTTGTGTAAACTAGTCGAGCTGCTCAAGGCCATCGAGCATACATTTCATCGTCGCAGCATGTTCATAGCAGAAAGTTTGACTCATATCATTCAGTATCTGTCATATCTTGCCTTGGCAACAATGGAGACAGCAAAGGTAGGGCCAAACTGGACTTATATACAAGGGCGGATTTTCATTTATTTAAAAGGAGGGTTTCCGGTGGGATACAAGCGGCCAGGGTTAAGCGTTTGGGTTAAAGCCTTTCACACAAAATAGGAGGGGTGAAGCGAAATTTTGGTTGGGTTGAACACTTTATTAGAGGGGTTAGAGAAATTCTAGGGGTGGGGGGTTAAAATTAATTGGCCATTTAGTGTTTTTGTTCGGCAAATAGCCGATTGCCGATTGCCCACTGTTATAATCCACACTGCATCCATCGCTACATTCACGTAGTTATTAGTTATTATTTTATAATACCTTATTTAATTCTGATCGTTTAATTGGCTGTTTATGGTCACGTGATATTGAATAGAAAATTCCATTTCCCAAGAATGCAATGGAATACGTTCCATTGCACTCTCTGGAATAGAACGTATAGTACAATTGCACTCTTTGTGTTTTCGATAAATCGCATCCCTCAAAATGCTTCTCATACGAATCTATTAGTCTATTTTGGTATTATATAAAACAAATAATGAATGTTTATGAGTGCAATGATAAGAATATTTTCATTCGGTGAAAGATGGAATGTTCCATTCAACTCGGTTGTCGCCTCGTTGAATGGAACATTCCATCTTTCACCGAATGAAAATATTCTTACCATTGCACTCATAAACATTCATTATTTGTATATTGTTATTAACAATGTAAATATAATTATCATTTTAAAGGCTGTACTCCATTGCTAGTATAAACTGGATCATAATTGACCACTTGCGTAATAGACTAAATTTTGAACTAAACAAGTCTAGACAAAAATTTCATCACAGCTTGAAGGAGCATCACAAAATTAGTAATATTCCAAAGTTTCGTTGCAAAATGTTGTAAAATGCGGAAAATATAGCCTTGCGAAATTTGCAATTTTCAGTCATTTTAGATTACAAACGGGAAATTGACAGCCCCAAACCCTTCGAGGCTGTCAATTTCCGGTTTGTAATCTAAAATGACTGAAAATTTCAAACTTCGCAAGGCTATATTTTCCGCATTTTACAACATTTTGCAACGAAACTCTGGAATATTACTAATTTTGTGATGCTCTTTCAAGCTGTAATGAAATTTTTGTTGAGATAAAAATTTAGTCTATTACGCAAATGGTCAATTGCATGGGTGATAAATCTACTTCACTCTCCTTAGAACCGTGTTGCTGCGGACAAGAAGTATACACACAAAAGACTGGTAATTACTTTAACCCAATATACTCGAATTTAGTTGATACGCGTGGGGTATGTATTTTTCAGATAGTTGCATGCCTACTAACGAAAGCTTGTTATTATTGGAAATGTATATACATTTATTAGACCTAAACAGAGACGGAAGCGAAAAATGCAACTTTAGGTCCCTGACAGGGGTTGAACTTGCGGCCCTGCACAGGAATCGCGGGGCTGCAGGTTCAATTTCCACTCGACAATTTCTATCTACAATGGCCATCAAATATCATTCATTCGAGTGAGATGCCACAAAAATCTAGCTTGTTATTTTTGACACTACCTGCACTGGCACAGACAGTATGAAATGACTCACCAGCATATTAGCTACTATGATTAACAAAACATTCATAAATCAACTTTTTAGGATGTAATGGCTGCGTTACTGTTGGCCCAGAATGCCTTGAATGGAATGGGTAAGTTAATTGTTGTACACAGAGGACTTCAAGTAGCCCCGTGGCACAGATTATTGGGTTTGAGGCCGCCCACATTCGGGCTAAAAAGAATTGAAGAGATTATTTCCCTGGCCTCAGAGTGACAAAACGTAACAAAGCATGAATGGTTTTACTAACACTAACCCTATTCCAAACACCAACTCTAACTCAAACCCTAATCCTAACCCTAACCTAACCCTACTCCAAGTTTGTTTCTAAACCAATCTTGAAGAAAAAGTTTTGACGAAATGTCATTCTGAGGTCAACGAAATAACTTCTTCGACAAAGAATTGGGATAATGACCGGTCCCTTATCTTTCTGGTAACAAGATCCAAACATAATAACGATTCATAAATCACAAGGTACCATAGTTTTAGATAAGATATATATGTCCTTTATGTTTGCTAACAAGTCGTTAGATAAAATAGTATTCTGATATTTTTGCCTCCTAATTTTTTAGGGACTCGAGAGAGACGATTGGTTACAAAACTTGGCCTCCACGTTGCCACTCAGCTGGTAAAATGTTTTGTGAACAATTTGTAGAACATTTTCCTTTCAGTTGTCTAAAACATTGTTTTAATGTCGTAGAAAACTTTCAAAGAAGACGAATTGAGCAATCTGACGATGGTTATGAAGAAACTTGAAACGATTTGTGGATTGAGGAACAAGATGAGAGAAGTCTGTGATTGCAGCTTTCTGTACTGGCACAGGGTGAGTTTTTTGTGGTAGTATCTTAAACGTGTAGGTAGTATTCTACAATAAGCTGCCGTGGTTTGTGTCTGAACTACCTGGGAAAGATGTCTCAAACATTAGGGTCCAATGTAGGTAGTATTCTAAAATAAGCTGTCGTGAGTCAGAACTATCTGAAAAAGATATCTCAAGCGTGGTGGTTCAGTGTAGGTAGTATTCTACAATAATCTGTCGTAGTTTGTGTCTGAACAACCTTAAACGGATGAAATACCTTTGACGTTTCGTGCACTAATTTTCTCCCAAAGCAAACCTCTTAAGTGATGCTTCACTTTTCTCTTTTTCAGGTTATTTTCCCCATATATTTGGACGATATCGTCGAGAAAGTCACAGACGCTCAGAGAGTTCACGTAAGTCCGTGAAGGTTTGCATACAGCACTTTGCAAGAACACTTACGTATTCCCATTTAATGTTTTCTGCAGTATATGTTTGGAGAAGAACACTTACACGTAATCTTATTTTCTGCAGTATATGTTTGGGGCACTCCGTGACTGCGTCCTGCCTTTGAAACAATCACGACATGATCCACCTGAAGTCATGCTGGACGCTTTTAATCAAGAAATTTCTAAACAATTTGATGAGGTAAGTACCATGCAGGGACTGGTTGTATGAAGATCGGATAGCGCTAATGCGCTATCCACCTAATAGTGAATTATTTCAAACTTTCTAAAGTTTTCTGTTTCTGGTGTTATGCACTTAGGTGTGAAGATATATGTTTGTGATGTTGTCTCTAGCAAACCAAAGGTCGCGGGTTCGATTCCCACCGCGGTCAAGCGAACCTTTCAGCTTTCTAAAGTTGTCGGTACATTAGTATAACGCAAATTACCAACTTTTATAAATTAAAGTTGAGGACCTTAAGACCTTTTATGAGGTCTATATCCGTACTAGCTTTTGAAATATTTTTACAACAGCCCCAGAATATTCATCCGCGGCCTTCGTACAACCGGCCCCTTTGAAAGAACAAATTAAAGGACTAAATATGGTTGTTTCAATTTTCTTCAGCATTTTCTTGCTCCTGTATGTCGTCAGATCGAGACAGATCTTCGACTTCATATCCACCAACATTTACAAGTTGGAGACAGAAATCCTTTCAGGGTGAGTTTTGGACCTTGATGGATCTTAAGCAACTCGGAAGGCAATAAGGCCAGGTGGCAGTCTCTGTCTTTGAAGGCAGGATTTTCTATACAGTGATAGTATAGTGAGTGTCCATTGTCCTTATGTTGCACTTATTACATATTCATTCGTTTTATCAAGGTTGGTATCAAAGACTTATCACAATTTCTCAAAATCAAGCCGATCAGATTTTTTGATAGACTAATCAACGTTAAAGGTATTCATGAATAGATTTGGGCTGTTGGTATAGCAGTTCAGTGCACTACGCAGTTGGCTTCCTCATGTGAAGAAATTGCTTTCAGTTTGAGTCTGTACCAAACTCTGAACTTCTGTTGCCATCCTAGTAACACTGGTCAACCCAACTCTAGTCGACATCAACTCTCATTGAATTTGAGCAGGTTCAAATGTTGATGAGAGTTGAAAGGAATTTTCGCTCGTTTGATCAGTAATACCTATAGGCAACTCTTATCAACTTTCATGCAACTTTTGTTCTCGTTTGACCGGGACATGAAAGTTGAGAAAACTCTCATGCAAACTCTCATTTCTCAACTCTCATGCAACCTTTGTTCTCGTTTGACCGGGGCATGAAAGTTGAGAAAACTCTCATGCAAACTTTCCCTTCTTAACTCTCATGTAACTCTTGTTCTCGTTTGACCAGGGCATGAGAGTTGAGAAAACTCTCATGCGAACTCTCGCTTCTCAACTCTCATCATCCACGTTTGACCAATGGTTAACTGCATGATGGCTCTTATACTGGATCTCTAGGAAGAACACTGTGTAGAACTGATATAGAGCTACAATATTCTGTATAAATAAAGTCGTGCTATATTTATTAGAACATGTTGCTCATTATTTGGACTCGACATTCTACAACCTAACCACAGTGGCTCTCCATGACTGGAAGACCTATGGAGAAATGAAAAATTTAGCAGCACAAAGATACAGTCTGACGATGACGGAGGCTCACCTTCCCAGTCAAACACTGGAACAGGTCAGTTTACATTTATTTCATAAAATCTAACAAAAATTTAATTTAACATAAACAGTTTCATTCACCACTCCGTTGTTCAAGCATCTGATAGTAATCAGCGACTCTGGCATTCTTGTTTGATTTATTTATAACACATTTATTGTTATCTTCTTGGCTCGCCTGCGGCAATACAGTTTTCTGCGATGAAAAGAGCCCTGTTTCCCAAAATTTCAATTTTGACCATCTGCTTCTACCTGTAAGAGATGGACAGCCTCAGTCTGTGAGAAAAAATACATTAACCACGTCTATGCCTGTTACCACGCAATTCAAATTTTCGGATAACTCGCATGCTTAGTTACCTCTGTTCTGGTAATGCAAGTATATAAGGTAATCAAGCATTGAAGATATAATATGCACGTGAATCGATTGACAATAGCCATAACACTGTGGTTAGGTCTGTTTCGTGGGTAAATTTAGGGGTGACGTGCAGGGGTATACAACCTCTATAATATATCCAGCGCCCTCTTTTCCCCCGGATAAATTAGCATCCAACCTATCGATCGCGTTCAGACTCGTGAGCTCTGGAACTGACATCCAATAGCTCTTCAATTTCCGCCATCTTGGATTCACGCTTTGGACTCGAGTTCTCGCTCCAGATATATATGGAGTTCAGTGGCAGGAGTTTAAAAAATAGACAAGCACGCGAGCACTGCTCGCAGGAAATGTTAAACAGCTGCAGGAAATTCGTTTGAATGAAGATTTGCCATTGAATATTTGAAGGAAAGCTTAACACCCATGTCCCAATATGGGCGCATCAACATATAGTTGACAGACATAATTCTTTAAAACCATGGTCAGCTAGAACACTATATGTTTATGCACATGCAGATTTAGCATAAAAATACTCCGTTGGTCTGCAGGAAATTTCCGTCTCCAGGTTGTGCTCTCAGGAAGAAAATTATTTTTTCCTTTCCTGCTCAGTGGATCAGTACGATTCTCCCTCTAGATTCTCACCTGTTTCTCCAACATCTTTGTTGGTAACCGTTTCACCATTATCCCCCAACTCATTCTCGAGATGTTTTTCTCCAATGGTTGTCGACTCATCACTGACTACATACTTTTCAGCCTTGGCTCCGAACTTCTTGCAAACACAGCGAAGATCTAGTTGTTTCCATGCACCATCCTGGGTTTGTTTCGGTCGAGCAATGCTATCCAACTCTAGGACAGGCGCTTCAGACATTGCTATAAACCCAGGGCAAACCAGTAGGGCTTTCGGTCGAATAATATTTCTTATCCGCTTGGCAAGAGTTTGAGGTTGCGCGATTTGTGTGTGTGGTTCCGAATGACAGCTTTCTTGTTTATCAGGTTTGACTGGTTCAGCGGATCTGGTTGCGAACCTGTTAGTGAAACTGGATGAAAACCAGTTTTGTCGTAGAGCTCTTGAACTTGGTTCATCTTTTGTTGCTTTCTCGGAACTTGGTGTATTGGAAAGAATTTCTTGTGTGTCTGTTGAGTTTGTGTTTGGTAGAAGTTCCATTGAGCTTGGTTCGAACAAGCTTGGGTTTTCATCTTTTCTGTTTAATTTGATCTGTGAAAATATTTAATATGGTAAAATAAGTATTATAAGTATAGTGAATCTCAAGTGACTAAAATATGTAATTATGGTAGGGTAGGGTAGGGTAGGGTAGGGTAGGGTAGGGTAGGGTAGGGTAGGGTAGGGTAGGGTAGGGATGAAAACCGTTTTTCATCTAACAACAGTGATGGTATATGATTTTTAGCGTGTTTCCTTGCGATATCCAACCTCAATCATGTGACGAATTAGGGTGGGTTCATTCGCTAATTTGCTCATGAATTATTAATGAGTTTGAGATGATATTGTATGGTATGGTATGGTGTGGTGTGGTGTGGTGTGGTATGGTATGGTGTGGTATGGTATGGTATGGTGTGGTACGGTATAGTGTGGTTTGGTGTGGTATGGTTCAGTATGGCATTGTATGTTGTGGTATGTCACGGTATGGTATAGTATGGTATTGTATGGTATGGTATGGTATGATACGGCATGGTGCCATGGTATGGTATGTCTGGGTATGGTATGATATGGTATTGTATGGTATTGTATTGTATGTTGTAGTATAACAAAGCGAATCGGTACAAAATTAACAAAAAACCTTTACCCCAGAAAGGTCTCTGATGAGAAATTTCTCATACTTGGCAGCACCAAAACACCTGCCTTCGTCATCATCAGTAAGGGAAATGTTCTCGTCAGAGTATGAACTTTCACAAGTCAGTAAATTCAAACAAGCTTCTGGGCTATAGCTTGAATCTGACGTATATTGGGTGGTTTGTGTTTGATCCTTGTCAACCATGTTTAACGAAGTCGCACTGTCTTTCTTCGGTAGTACAAAAACTGTTTGTTGATGTTTGCGTCTTGTATTTCTTTCATCCTATAATGATAAGTAAGCGGGATGCAACTTTACTTGCAGCTGAGAGCTAAGCTGAATTACGATGGACGCTGAACCTCAGGTTGAAGTAAAAGCTTACTAAGGTCACGGAGCACAGCTGCAATAGACAATTCCTATTCCCATTGAGATGCCAATAAATCACCACAGCTAGAAAGAGCATACTAAAATTAGTAAAATTACAAAGTTTGCTTGCGAAATCAGTTGTAAAATGCGGAAAATATAGCCTTGCAAAGTTTGCAAATTTTGTATACTTTTGTATTGCGTGCGGAAATTGCTACCATTTTCGGCCCAAATGTGATAGGAATGTGGTAGGAATTTCCGCACGCAATACAAAAGTATACAAAATTTGCAAATTTTGCAAGGCTATATTTTCCGCATTTTACAACATTTCGCAACCAAACTTTGTAATTTTACTCATTTTAGTATGCTCTTTCTAGCTGTGGTGATTTATTTGCATCTTCTTGCCTAGTTTTTAAATTAGTCTATAATGGAAATTGTCTATTAAAGGGTTAGATATACAAGCTCCTTCACAATCATGATTTCTTTTGTGTTTTTTTTTTCATAAATTATTATTGAGAGTTACAAGTACCTCGAAGTATGTCTCTTCAAAGTCAATAGCTTCTAGTTTAGTATCGCTGTTACTACTGGAAATATTTCTGAGAACGGTTTCGCCGTTTTTATCATGAAATATTTCAGCCCACATATCTTCCTCCCAAATATCATCTTCCACGAGCTCTTCACGTGCTCGACTTTGTGATGAAGAAACATTAAGTTTATTCATTTTTTGCTGTGGGATTTATCTCAATAGTATATTTAACATTTGAATCCGCTTGCGCATTGAAAGCTGCGCTGGCTTTTATGTAATTAGTGTTTCTTTCTGTCGCGTCATTTAATTATAATAGTCGCGCGTACACACGTAAAAGTGCGCAAGTTGTCACATTTTGTCACATGCATGCATCAGACTTGCTACAAGATTGTTCCAACAGGTTGACATCGGGTTTTGTTCTCATTGCTTGTTCCCAGCTTGTTGACATGGTGTTGCAGGCAGTGGTAATGATTCAACAAACTTATTATCGTGATTTAACAAACTTGTTAACAAACCTTTAGCAACAAACCTTTAGCAACCTTTAAAGGCAACCTTGAAAAACTGAAAAACAATTGAAAAACTAACTAGGAAAAGCAATTAAGCTTGCATATATAATTCAAAATGAGTGAACTCAATGCTTATAACATTAAAAATGTTAAAAAAAATGTTAAAAACATTGAAATCACTGGTTAGTTTTTTCAATTAAAGGGTTGTAATGCGCCTTAAAAATCATCATTCAAAAGGCTGAACTGTGCCTTTAACCGCATTGTTAAAACCTAGCTGTTTACCAGCTTACTACTTACTGTTGCGTGCTGCCGTGCTGGATTAAACTGATTAAGCATTTAACATGGTCCCTGCATGGACATGCAGAATACATCCTTCCTGAACGTACGTCACTTTGGCTATACAGCCTCGTTGTAGTGATTGAGATGATGGGCTTTAACTAGTGTCACATATCCTGGTGCTGGTTGTTCAAAGGTGGATTAGCGCTAACCCTGGGCTAAAATTGAACCTGCTGTTTTAGTTTATATATTTCTGCACGTCTGTTTATTTCAAAACTTTAGACAAGATTTCTGAAGAAACATTTCCAAATTTATGAACAAGCTGTCAGGAAGCTTGCTTTCAAATTTAGGTTAACCTATAGGGTTAAAGGTGATCTACAGTCCGTATGTAAACAAAGCCTTTGTTTACATTTTTGCGTCCAAAATATTGAGCTTTATTCGACAACTTTATATTTTCAAGCTTCTAGAGTATAATAAATGATCAAGAAACAACAATCAGGCTTTGCAAGAACCCAAAACATAGTTAAACTGTTTGTATCATAAAAAGTGGGCTCATTTGTGCACATGCGCAGATCGGACTGTAGATCACCTTTAAGGTAATCGGTTTTTGAACAACCGTCCCCAGGAGGGTGTATTACCACGAAGTTGGGTTAATATCTATGGGGATTATATATTACACATATCCTCGTGTTGGATCGACTTGGATGAGTAGCAGTTTCTGTAGGAGGAAAAAATTTGCTATAAAATTCAACTAATTTGTATTTTCATTGTCACACAGGGGCTAGATGTTCTTGAAATCATGCGAAATATTCACATTTTTATATCTCGATACTTGTACAACCTCAATAATCAGGTAAGACATAAGATGCGATTCTGTTGAATTTTTATTTCGCAATGGAAAAAGGAACTGTTCTAACTAGTACCTTTTTTGCAGATTTTTGTCGAACGTTCGTCAAACAACAAACATCTAAACACGATCAACATTCGTCATATCGCGAACTCGATCAGAACCCATGGCTCAGGAATCATGAACACGACTGTGAATTTTACGTACCAGTTTCTGAGAAAGAAATTCTTCATTTTCTCACAATTTTTGTACGATGAACACATCAAAGGCAGAGTTCTCAAAGTATGTACCGTATAGCCTACTCTTGACTAAGTTTGCTGAGTTAAAGTAAAGTAAATTAAACTGATTTATTTATACTCGCACCCCTATCGCATAGGATGACAGAGACCTTCACTGACGGGTGCTTGTTGTACACACGTAAAAATCTCACAATTTGTCAACAAGATGTGTTCGCAACAGGCTTGTAGCAAGCTTTTCAACAAGTTGTAACAATGCTATTATTTTATCAAGTTACTATACAAGGTTGTCAGTCACAACTTGTTGACAAATTGTTGACTTGCAGGACGATAACAAGTTGTTGGAACAACTTGTAACAACTCTGTTGATCTCAACAACCTTGTAGCAAGTTCTCAACAAGTCGTTGAGAACTTGTCAACAAGCTGGGAACAAGCAGTGCGAACACATCCTGTTGCCAAGTTGTTGAAACAGCATTGTCACAAGTCTGCTGCAGGTTTGTTACAACTTGTGCGTTTTTACGTATGTTCTGCGTGCTTGAAGTACTGTTGAAGGATGTAAACTTTCATTCTCACTGACACTGTTATTTCTACGGTCACTGTAGGATATCAGATATTTCAAAGAAATCCGGGAGGAAACTGGACAGAAGTATCCATTTGAAAGAGCAGAGAAGTTTAACAAAGGAATTCGAAAGCTTGGCTTAACTCCAGACTCCTTGAGCTATCTCGATCAATTTAGAGAGCTCATTACTCAAGTTGGTAAGCCGATATAAAATAATTGTGAATTTTGAAAGGTATTGCTGAACGTTAGTTTCGACTGCGTGTTGGATTGTGGATCCAACAATTATCTAATACTAGCATCCTCCGCAGGCATCGCCTTTAGATTAGCAGGCAAAATTTGTTTGCGGGCAAAAAAAGAAGCGACAGTGAACCACGAGATGCCTGCGAAGGAGGCCAATCTTATACATATCACTGGAAAAAAAAAGTGAAATCCATACTACGAAATTTGCAATTGCACCACTAAAGCCACAGTATATCCGTCCTATTTCCATACTATATCCACACTATGGAAATATACAATTATTATGGATAACCAAAATCCATAAAGGTCCATACAATTTCCATTCTATGACCTTCTATGGGTTTTCAAACTTTTTTCCAGTGTATGTTGCAATTATATTTGGAATGTATGATTTTCTCCTAGGTAACGCTATGGGTTACATCAGGATGGTTAGGTCAGGAGGATTGCATTGTGTATCAAATGCAATAAGGTAAATGCTTTTATAATGTTTATACATCATGATGGGTAGACTCATGAAAGACAATCTTTCATCACTATTCATTTGTCTGACCTTACTTACCATACTGACCTTACACAGAAAATAGCATGGAAATATACTAACTTTTTTGGCGGCACCCCTCAGCTCGCACACCAAGAGAAGATTCTTGTATTCCTCAATTTCATAGATTTGTTCCGGATCTTGAAGACATCATTTCGTTTGATGAGCTAGTCAAGGACGAGGGTTTGTCAGATGAAACTCAAGAAGCCGCCAAGTAAGCTGTGAGAAAATTAGACAGAAGAGTTTCACAACACTCCCTGCATGTCGTTGATTGCTTCTATTTTATCTTTTAGAAATCTTGACGCAGCTATCAGTAATATGGCCAAGAATTTTGCCGAAGGAACGGATTATTTTAAGGTAAGAATGTGTTTTTCGTGGGGGATTTAGTGGCACAAAGGCAGCCTACAATCAGTGACAAAACACTTTGGACAAAATAGCAAAAGAGCGTACATTTACAACATAATCGACCCCCCGCACCCCCCGTTCAATGTTGTGTGTAGAAGTACCGGCGCAAAATGTTCCTTGCCAGCCACCCAACATTGTTTAGGGTGGGGGAGGGAGGGATAGTGGTTTTATGCTGAACAGTACTTGGAAAGGCGCAGATATGTATATATTATATCACTGTCCAAAAACCTTTTGTCACTGATTGTAGTGCATTTTTTTTTTCACCTTTGCAATCTAGGTTCGATTCCTGGGGCCAGTTGTTCAAAGCTGGATTAGCTTAAACCTGGGTTAACCTAAAATTCAAAGCAAACTTCCTCACAGCCTGTTTATAAATTTGGAAATATTTCTTCAGAGATCTTGTCTAGATTGATAGGAGTTTACTTCTCCGAAGTTTTGAAATAAACGGACGTCATGCAGAACTACATAAACTAAAACATTTGGTTAAATTTTAACCCAGGGTTAGCGCTAATCCAACTTTGAACAACTTGCCCCTGAAGTATATAATTTATTATTCCCCTGTTTGTGCTTTTTTTTAGCTTTTAGTGGACGTGTTCGTTCCTCAGTTCAGAGACGCGAAGAATATGCACTTGAGAAACTTCTATATTATTGTTCCTCCTCTGGTAGGTTCTTTCTTTTTCATTGAACACACAGATGTACTTTACAGGTAAAAGGAAAAGTAGCATCTAATGGACAACTTACATGTTAAACTAAATTTTGATCTAAGTCACTTTTTTTGCCTAGATCAAAAATGAGTCTAACATGCAAGCTGGTCTATTAGGAGGAGATTTTTTTTATGTTACGTAACTCGCGCTCAAAACTAAGGCGTATAATATACCACTTGAAGTTATGACTAAATTCAAAATTTTTATTTTTCGATACGTTTCTCAATCGGCAAACAAACTTAAAAAGTATGTTTAGTGTTTTATCTGTAAAATAATACTAAATTGAAAAGATTTTAAATGATACGCCAAAGGCAAAGAGAAAATGATGTCTGAAGTTCAGTAAGTTTTGTTTATATGGCTGTATTAAATATGGCGCCAATTTTAAAGCATCTTTGATAATTGTATTTCCATTGACAATTTTTAACTATTTTATGTTTCTCAACGGCACATGCATTTAAAAAGGTAGCTAACTGTATAAACTAGAGAATAAAGCTAAAACAAAGTAATTTTGAGAGGAACGCCAAAAAGATTTTAGGTTTTGAACACTTTTCATTGCAAAAACGTGACATTGAAAAAAATTGCCTCTTAATACAATAAATTGCATGTATAGCATTGATCCTTTCGTATATTTAGACTCTAAATTTCGTGGAATATTCAATGAGTCGCAAAGAAAAGATGACGAAGAAGAACAAGGAGGGAGCCGCATTTACAGATGACGGTTTTGCCATGGGTAAGATCTAGCTGTGATTTTTGTTCGGATTTAAGTTTTTTTCATGTTCTATTCTTTTACAGTTGGGTGATTATAATTTCTCCTCAATCTCATATGAGAATAAAGATTCCAGTTTGATTGCACTAAAACAGCGCGGGTTTTTCCCAGGTTTCTCCAGTTTCTGCTTCTAGACACTGGAAAACTAAGGGATGGCCCTTACCTGACCTGTTATGTAGGAGAACAGCCACGAACTGGTAAAGAGTTATCCTGTATAAATCTAAAGTAATCACCTGGGGCCGATTGTACGAAGGCCGGATAGCGCTAACCACCGGATAGTGATTTTTTCAACCTTTGTAAAAATGCTTGAAAACTGTGAAACTACGGATATAGACGACACAAGAAGTATAAAAAACATTTAACTTATAAATACTAAACTTTAATACGAGTTATATATACCAATCAATGAGTGATTTAACAAAACTTGAAAAAGTCCCTATCCTGTGGATAGCGCTATCCAACCTTCGTACAACCGGTCCCTGTAATATAATATTTGTACTAAATTATTCAGGAGTGGCTTATATATTAAAATTGCTGAATCAATACAAGGAATTTGACTCTCTTCATTGGTTCCAATCTGTTGACCAGAAATATCAAACTGATATGGCAAGTGCTATACTACTAATTCATTGCAAATTTATGTTTCAATGGAACGAAATTTGTTTCCTCTTCACTCATCCATGCCCGTATAATTTTTAGCGTAAAGTACAATCACAGTCGCTTGATGGCAAGGGCGGTAGAGACGAGAAGCTACAACAAACGCTGAGTTTAACACAAAAGAGATTGTCTGCTTTCCAAAGGGTTGGTATTGAACAATTGATAAATTTAATAAAGGGAGGGAAAAGAAAGCCCCTGGTACAAGATGGTACGGTCATGGGGATTGTAATTTTTTCCAAGGAATTTGCAAACGAACACAAAAGTTACTAGTTGCCTCAAACGTTAATGTAATGGTTGGATTATCAACAGACTTATTACTCATTTATTCCCTTTCGAATGTGTCGTTGTAGGAGTTTGAATTATTGTACTACTCTCTGAGCAGTGCTCGAGTTTTCTTCCGTGCTGATAAAACCGAGGCTGAAGAGAAAGAAGAAAAGGAGCAATCTCAGGGTAAGAATGCTGCGGAGATTGAAGGCTAGTTTCTTGTCGCTTTACATTATCTTAAAAAAGAAGACTTATTGCTTTACATTATCTTAAAAAAGAAGACTTATTGCTTTACATTATCTTAAAAAAGAAGACTTATTGCTTTACATTATCTTAGAAAAGAAGACTTATTGCTTTACATTATCTTAAAAAAGAAGACTTATTGCTTTACATTATCTTAAAAAAGAAGACTTATTGCTTTACATTATCTTAAAAAAGAAGACTTATTGCTTTACATTATCTTAAAAAAGAAGACTTATTGCTTTACATTATCTTAAAAAAGAAGACTTATTGCTTTACATTATCTTAAAAAAGAAGACTTATTGCTTTACATTATCTTAAAAAAGAAGACTTATTGCTTTACATTATCTTAAAAAAGAAGACTTATTGCTTTACATTATCTTAGAAAAGAAGACTTATTGCTTTACATTATCTTAAAAAAGAAGACTTATTGCTTTACATTATCTTAAAAAAGAAGACTTATTGCTTTACATTATCTTAAAAAAGAAGACTTATTGCTTTACATTATCTTAGAAAAGAAGACTTATTGCTTTACATTATCTTAAAAAAAAGACTTATTGCTTTACATTATCTTAAAAAAGAAGACTTATTGCTTTACATTATCTTAAAAAAGAAGACTTATTGCTTTACATTATCTTAAAAAAGAAGACTTATTGCTTTACATTATCTTAGAAAAGAAGACTTATTGCTTTACATTATCTTAAAAAAGAAGACTTATTGCTTTACATTATCTTAAAAAAGAAGACTTATTGCTTTACATTATCTTAAAAAAGAAGACTTATTGCTTTACATTATCTTAAAAAAGAAGACTTATTGCTTTGCATTATCTTAGAAAAGAAGGCTGGTTTCTTATAGCTTTACATTATCTTAAGTTTACCTGAAGAGCGGTGTCATCTCGTGTAATCAACCTTTTTTTTAATAATATTTATTTTCAGGAAGCTTTCTCACAAGGTCCTGAGTAAAAAAAAACAGTAAAAAAAGTAGTAAACTTTGACAACTTTATCTACAAATCTACTGAAGAACTTTTGCTGAAAACGAAGAATTCTTAATTTTTTTTCACGCAATTCAGACGCCAACAACGGTTGTGTAGTTAAATCATTGTTTTCAAGTACTTTATTTTTAGGTGAAAACACTGAACAGGAAGGTGAAGCCTCAACATCCGGTAACAATCAAACTTCTTCTGACGATGGTAAGCTTATCTTGCGAATTATCTTGTTTTACCTTGCGTGGTTGCACTGGATGGAATCTAGTGTGATAGCGTTTCAGGTTATTTCGGTTCAGTGGACTAACCACATTTTGCTATATATCTAGGAGGTCCCCCCGCACCCCCTCCACCACCTCCCCCACCACCACCAATGTGAATGACATCATCGCAAAGAATTTGAAAATGGGTATTGTTAGTAAATTATTTCTAATTGAGTAAATGTAGCAAATTATTGTAACTCAACTGGATTCCACTGTAATGGCGATCGTGTTGCAGGTGTGCGATGGAATGAAGTGTGGATATATCTCTACTCACAACAGAATGCAAGGATAGTATTATAGAAATGAAAATTATTTTTGATACAGTATTAAATTAATGTAATCAATATACAAAATGAAACTAATTCCGAAAATATGCATCTTGAAAATCCAAGTCATGGTCAAAATCGACAATAAAAATTTTTCCATGATTTTTTATCCATATCTTCATTTTCAAGATGCATATTTTCCGAATTTGTTTTATTTTATTTTATTTTGTTTTTTCAAATTGTCGGTGGAAATGAATTTCGAGCAATCAATATAAATATAAGTGTTTTAATAAATGAAAAAACTGCCTCTTTCCTTTTGAGTACATTATCCAGACATTTTATTTAGATCAGTGATCAAAACTGAAAGTGATTTTAAAACCGGAAATCATGCTTGCCGGAAATGTTTTCCTTCCTTGAAATATATGAGCTAGAAGTTAACAGTTTCTTGGCAAAACAATTACACAAAGTCAGTTGATTTTGCGTCCCATATCATGGGAGGCATTGAGTTTTGGACATGGGAAATAATATGCTATTGTTTTATATTCTTGACTGGGTTGTTTGGAAACCTGACTGTGATTATAGTGGTCCTTAAAAGTGGCTCGGCGAGGCATCGTTTCCGCGAAGTTCCGTTCAATATTTACCTGATGGCCTTGGCTATTGTTGATCTGATTTTTGCTGTGACTTGCCTACCAGTTTATGTTTTGTCTACCAATGTTTTTGACCATCCTACTGGAGTTCAAGGTGATATATTATGCAAGCTCATTACTGGGTACCTCATCCCATTTTGGCTAGGTGATGTCTCCATAAATACATTGCTTATTATAAGTTTTGAAAGGCATGCAGCGATTTGTAAACCATTTAAGGCAATACAGCTAGGCATCCCAAGAAGAACGTACTTTTATATCGCAGGGACCTACCTTGCCGCTTTTGTCCTTCAAATTCCAACTCTTGTCGGCATTCGTTGGGCCGGAGTTAATGGCACAGTGAGTTATTGCACTTACGTTTGGCCAAGTGATACTGTAAGCACATCTATTTTTGCTGTTATCTTTACATGTCATTTTGTACTTCCTTCTACAATTTTTCTCATCAATTTTTACCGAATCAAAAAATGCCTAATGAAGTTGGATGGGGACCTTCGACGATCGCTTGGGGATGCCAAGCAACGGGTTAAGATTGTGAAAAGTAAAGAAAAGACAGTACGGATTGTCCTTGTTGTGCTGGTGGCATTTTTTGTGTCGTGGACTCCAAACCATGTTATGTATTTTATGTTTCAGTTTGGTGTGAAACAATGTCAGCTGGAACTCAAAATATTTCCAAGTAGGATTAATCCTCGGATTTTCATCATCCTGGCTTAATCCATTTTTGTATGCATTTCAAAGCAGGAATTTCCGATCCCATTGTCATAAAGTGTTCAAGAAAATGGTTGGCGGGCGGTTTACTGGAAGGCCGCAAAGTAGTAGCCAAAGTGGCAGTACATCTTCTACTGTGAGGACAAAAATCCAATTCCAAAAAATGAAAACTCCTGTTGAAGTTCAATAATATTTTTGATATTTGAAAAGCTAGTTTACTCTACTGCATTGCTCAAAGTGTGTTCTGATCAAACTTGGGATGTCATAGTAGTAATAGTATATGAACTTAATTTAATGAGGGAAAACATTTTAACCACAAATGTTATCTTACATATATCCCTGTGGTCACATAAATTTTTGTTGTGTTAATTAGCCCTGGTCAAATGAGAGTGGGCAAGCAATAGTTTGCATGAAGGTTGCTTAACTCTTGTGTGACCAGTTTAAAGTGGATGAGAGTCAACAAAAGTTAGTTGAGGGTCAAATGCTAGCGATAGTTGTAACAAGTCAATATCTTCATTTGAACAGGGCTAAAAGATGTCATTGGCATTGTTTATATTTTTCTTTTCTATACAACCTTCATTTTTTTCACGCAAATATTCAGTTAAACCAATATTTTCAAGTACTTTATTTTTAGGTGAAACAATCAAACTGCTACTGACGACGGTAAGTGTTTTGCTGGTGTCTGCATCGTAGGCAAATTGCGTAGTTGCTCCGGATGGAATCTAGTGTGATAGCGTTCCAGGTTATTTCAGTTCAGTGAACTAACCACATTTTGTTATATATCTAGGAGGTCCCCCCGCACCACCTCCCCCACCACCACCAATGTGAATGACATCCTTGTAAAGAATTCGATTTCAATGAAGAACTGAAAATGAGTATCCTTGGTAGACTCGGTAAATTGTTTCTAATTGAGTAAATGTAGCAAATTATTGGTAACTTGACTGGATTCCACTTTTTTGAAGTAATGGCGATCGTGTGCAGGTGTGCGATGGGATGAAGTGTGGATATATCTCTACTCCTCTCTCCTCCGCAGAGGCTTTAGTTTTCTTCTGTGGTATTTAATATGACGATGAGATACATTTCACTACACTTTACATGGCGGATCTGGGAACACGAGCGTAGCCGCTGGGCGAAGGAGCGCAGGCGGCAAAGGAGTCTACTCACAACAGAATGCAAGAATAGTATTATAGAAATGAAAATTATTTTTGATACAGTACTAAATTAGTGCAATCAATATACAAAATGAAACTAATTCCGAAAATATGCATCCGAAAATCCAAGTTATGATTTTTTATCCATATCTTCATTTTCAAAGATGCATATTTTCTGAATTTGTTTCATTTTGTTTTTTTCAAATTGTCGGCTGGAAATGGGTTTCACTTTTGAGCAATCAATATAAATATATGTGTTTTAATACATGAATTAATCAATTGTACCCTACAAGTATTTAAATTCTCTGTTGCATTCTGCTTGCACCGATAATTTCTAGTTCAAAAACTGCCTAGTTTTGACTTTTGAGTACATTATCCAGATATTTTATTCAGATCAGTGATCAAAACTGGAAGTGATCAACCGGAAACAGCATATGGGAAACAGTGACCGGAAATCGTGCTTGCCGGAAATATTTTTTTCACATTTTCTGTTTATTTTTACCAGTACTTCCTTGAAATTTTATACGAGCAGTTCATTTATATTAAATTATTAAAATCAGTGGCAGTTAACACTAAACAATTCTTGGTAAACAACATTTACATAAAGTCTTTGTGCTTTACAAGTTCATAAAGAGATTTTGCGTCTCGTATCATGGGAGGCATTGAGTTTTGGACATGGGAAATAATATGCTATTGTTTTATATTCGTAACTGGGCTGTTCGGAAACCTGACTGTGATAATAGTGGTCCTTAAAAGTGGCTCGGCGAGGCATCGTTTCCGCGAAGTTCCGTTCAATATTTACTTGATGGCCTTGGCTATTGTTGATCTAACTTTTGCCGTGACTTGCCTACCAATTTTTGTTTTGTCTACCAGTGTTTTTGACCATCCTACGGGAGTTCAAGGCGATATATTATGCAAGCTCATTACTGGGTACCTCATCCCATTTTGGTTATGTGATGTGTCCATATATACACTGGTTATTATAAGTTTTGAAAGGCACACAGCAATTTGTAAACCATTTCAGGCAATACGGCTAGGCATTCCAATAAAAACATACCTTTATATCGCTGGAGCCTACCTAGCCGCCTTTGTTATTCAAATTCCAACCATTGTCGGCATTCGTTGGGCTGGAGCTAATGGCACAGTGGATTATTGCACTTACGATTGGCCGAGTGATACTGTAAGCACAGTAATTTATGGTGGTGTCTTTGCATGTCATTTTATACTTCCTGCTACCATTTTTATCTTCAATTTTTACCGAATCAAAAAATCTCTGACGAAGTTGGACAGGGACCTTCGACGTGCCTTTGGGGATGCCAGGCATGGGATTAAGATCATGAAAAGCAAAGAAAAGACAGTACAGATTGTTTTTGTAGTCATGGTGGCATTTTTTGTGTTGTGGACTCCAAACCATGTCATGTATTTTCTATTTCAGTTTGGTGAGATACAACATCTTAGGTGGAACTCAGACTATTACCAAGTAGGAATAATCCTTGGATTTTCGTCATCCTGGCTCAATCCATTTTTGTACGCATTTCAAAGCAGGAATTTCCGATCCCATTGTCGGAAAGTGTTCAGGAAAATTCTTGGCGGGGGGTTTACTGGAAGGCCGCAAAGTAGTAGCCAGAGTGGCAGTACCTCGTCTACTCTAAGAACAAAAATCCAATTCAAAAGATTGCAAACTCCTGTTCCAGTTAACTCGATTCAATAACATTTTTGTCTACTGAATTTTCATTGCTCGAAGTGTGTTCTGATCAAACTTGGGATGTCCTAGTATAATAAACTTTATTTAATGAGGGGAAACTTATTAACCATATATACCTGTGCAGGTTACAGAAACGTTGGTCACCTTAAGCGCTGGTCAAGTCAGAGTTGGCAAGCAATTTGCTTGAGAAGTTTGCTTGAGTTCCTAGCTCAAAGTGGATGAGAGTCCATGAGAGGTAGTTAAGGGTCAAATGCTAGGGAGAGTTAAAAATCAATATCCTCATTTGAATAGCCGGCTTAAACCAGCAAATATATGGCATCTTTTCTATTTTTCTTTTTTATATACAACAGGGTTAGTAAATTATATTGATTTAATGCATAGTAAAATTAATTATGTGTGGGTTGTCCATATTTTAGTTTTTATGGTTTAATTAATCAGTGAATTGGTTTTAATCCGTTTGTCCACATTCACAGTTCCGCGCCCAAAATAAGTAAATAAGCCTGTTCGCAGGCAAAAATACGTAATTAGTTTCCAATCCTTTTACGGTAGATATGTCGGAACCTTCCGTAATCATACTCGTGCTGTTTTTGTTTTGAAAAATGGAATTGGGAAAGAACATGACAACATTTTTTCCCAAAAGGAGCAACAACGTATAAATTTTTAGGGAATTTTGTCCTTAAAATAATGGAAGAAGAACAGGAGAGTCTGGTCTCGGCGACCAAAAACAACAAACCAAACCAACGTTTATTAAAAAGCTCAAAAAATGATCCGAAACCTGGAATTTTTGTGTATATTTTGACGTTTTTCGCTGCGGTCGGTGGCTTCCTTTTTGGCTACGATACTGGGGTAGTTTCAGGGGCTTTAATAATCCTCAAGAAACGTTTCCGATTGACGTTTTTTATGGAAGAACTTGTAGTTAGCATTACTATAGCTGGCGCTATTCTGGGAGCTTTATACGCCGGACCAATGAGCCAATATTTAGGTCGAAAATTTGTCTTGATATTTTCGGCAATTATTTTTACAATCGGTGCCATCTTTATGGCAGCAGCCGAAAATACTGGTGAACTGCTTACTGGCAGAGCTATTGTGGGCCTTGGTATAGGTGAGTCACATGAATTGAAGTGTTGAATGTTTTATATGATGTTATTTAATACTTAAATGAGTTATTGATTTATTAAAAAAAAGTAGGGGGCATTGCCACTTAAAGGGTTAACCGGGTGCATAGGCAGATAGTTGGGCAATTTCGATACGATTTTTTTATCGTAATTCATCAGCTGTCTTCGTTTTTTTCATGATATTGTGAGAATTTCAAGCGTGCCTCTACATGCTTGGAATTCTCACAATAGGAGCTGGGACAGAGGTAAAAGTTCTCCAACTGTTGCAGACAATTTGTGAACAGTCTTTTCATTTGTTTTATTATCACTGTCTGCAAATACCACAATTGTCACAACATATTTTTATTTATCATGACTGTTGACAACAGTCACAGATGAGTTACAGTACTGTAGGTGGTTTTCATTTGCCCTAAGCTTCCTGCAATGCTCTGCAATGGTTCACCTCTGCGAGTGTTGCCAACTAATGAAAACCAGCCTTTAAAGCTCAGGTCAAACAAGCCCCCCTTCACACAGAACAGGGTAAATTATTGCACTTCAGGGCTGCAAATAAATATTTGACTTGACAGGACATTTGTCCGATCACTTTTAATTTTGGTCGAACATAACTTGAATTTGGTTGGACAAAAACCAACCCCACTAAATTTGGTCGGACATATGTACATCACAAGATATATATATAAGTTACGAGACAATTGTATGTATAGCCATTCCGGTGCAATGTTACTGTAAGTAAAATGCTAGAATACCTTGTAAATTTTATTGCAAAATGCAAATTGAGTGAATTTGCAATCGGACTTTGTCACAGCAAAAAAATGTATAATGTGACAATTTTTTGTGATCGGACCAATGTCCGATCAAAATTACTTTTGCTCGGACATTTGCCAAATTTAGTCGGACATTGTCCGATGTCCGACAGTAATTTGCAGCCCTGGAACTTGGAACCATATTGACGTTTACATGTTTCTACCCTATTCACACATGAATTCAAACAAATGTACTATCATTGTGCGAAGTTAAAATATCTATATTCTATAGGATCAGCATCAATGACTGTACCTGTGTACATTGCTGAAGCAGCCCCCACTCACCTGAGAGGCAAGCTAGTGACGTTAAACAATGTTTTTATCACGGGAGGGCAATTTGTTGCCAGTGTTGTGGATGGTATATTTGCATCTGACAAGATAAATGGCTGGAGGTAAAGAACATAATTATGGATAGCTCTGCAGCCCTTGAAGCCCCTGAAATTTCTATTATAATAATTTTTTTTATTAATTAATAAATTTTTTTATTATAAAAAAATTATAAATTAATTTCTATCATTTTATACACCTGAACATTTAATATTATTCTATAGTAGTTCTCATTTTATTCTATGTAAACTTGGTGACAGTTTAATATTAAAAGCATAAAAAATCAATGTATATCCACAGCTAGAACTGTACTTGCCATTTCTGCAAAAAGCATTCGATCCTTTAAAATTTAATTTATTAACTTTGCCACTATTAACCTATTAGAGTGCAAGACCCGACAAGTAAACTTGTCTGGTGTTAGACGGAGTAGAAGAATAAAGTGTGCATTAATTGCTGCTTGATGGGTTAATAACGAAAATTTACATGCACTAATATATATTTACAAGAAAGATTTGGCAGGGACACAGCAACAGCTAGTTAATTGCCAATTACTTGTAAAAAAACGAGGGGGTGGGAGGAAGCTGCAAATGCCAATGGACCTTTCCCCTTATAACTAAAATTTTGATCTAGACAAAAATTTCATCACAGCTTGGAAGAGCATCACAAAATTAGTAATATTCCAAAGTTTCGTTGCGAAATGTTGTAAAATGCGGATAATATAGCCTTGCAAAGTTTGCTGTTTTTCAGTCCTTTTGTATTACAAACGGGAAATTGACAGCCCAATCGGGTGTGGGGGCATCAATTTCCCGTTTGTAATACAAAATGACTGAAAATTGCAAATTTCGCAAGGCTATATTATCCGCATTTTACAACATTTCGCAACAAAACTTTGGCATATTACTAATTTTGTGATGCTCTTTCAAGCTGTGATGAAATTTTTGTCTAGACTTGTCTATATCAAAATTTTAGTTATAAGGGGAAAGGTCCATGTTGGATACTCTGAGAAACTGACACTGAATACTTTTTTCTTCCCAACCGCCATCATGCTTAATTAATCATTATTCTAGGTACATGCTAGGACTTTCTGGTGTTCCGGCAGTCATTATGTTAATTGGTCTCTTGTTTATGCCTGAGAGTCCTCGATGGCTGGTAAGCAAGGGCAAGGTGGATAAAGCAAAAAAAGTGCTGCAAAGAATCAGAAATTCAGATGATGTTGATGAGGAGATACATGACATCACACAGACAATACAGAGGGAACGTTTAGGTAAGAAGCTACTAGTGTGCTGACCAACTCACTTGAGCTTCCGTCCTTTCCACACATTTACTAGGCAAGTTGACCTGCCATTCCCATGCCTATATATATAAGGAGGCACCACTAGATATCATATCTGGCCAGAAAGTGAGATTATCCCGATATATGGCTATCTGGCCAGATATTGTTTATATATATTTCTGGCCTTGTTCTTTGTTTGATATTGTTAAAAAAAAAGTATTAAATAAATGCATGTCTTGAAATGATCGGAGAAAAGCTTGTCAGTATTGTCATGCTCATTAATTTTATTGATGTTTGACTGTGAAGTTCTTTCCTATTATTTCCAGTCAAAATACTATAAACTCCTTCAATTTATATACAGTATTATCAATTAAAATTCTTATTTAATAAAATCATTATTTTACATTAAATAAAATAAAAAGTGAAAGCTCTATCTGGTGTACCCAGCTAATACATTCTGGCTCATATATGAACTTATAAAGGTTGATGTAAAACCTTTTTACCAATAAACAAATGAACACTGTCAGACATGTTTATTGTAATTTTGATTTAGGTGCCAATTATGGAAGGTGTGGCATTGTTGTTCGTATATGGCAAACCCCTTCTGTGAGGAGAGCAATATTTGTAGGATGTGGTTTACAGGCCATTCAACAACTTTCAGGAATAAACACTGTAATGTAAGTACTATTGGAAATTCTGTTGGAGTTGTTTGCTTTGCTTGATGATGTAAAACTGTCAGTGGTATTCCTTGGGAGTTTTATCTCCACATAGTTAGTATTACAACAGCTGACGCCATTCTGGGAGCTTTATATGCCGAGCCAATGAGTCAATAGAGAGGTTAAGATACCCCTGTTTACGGGTACGGGTCATGTACCGTGAGAAACCAATCAGTGAATGGTAATTTTCGTTGTTGAGGTTCGCTATAGATTGTTGCAAACTTTGACAAGCATGTGTGCATTATTTATTTGGGTAAGATGTTGAAAATTTTTACTGTTTAAATGGGCCACAAATAGTAAACAGAAATGTTTGCTGCGGGGAAACGGGTAGAAATTACGGGTAAGAATGCTGACATCAGCAAAAATTGGTGAACAAAGTGGCGTTACTACTACCCGTAAAACGGAACCGGGGTATTTTAACCTCTCTAATATTTAGGTCACTTTCTCCCCCCCCCCCATAACACCCCCCTGTAAAGCTGCAAAACTTAAGTGTCACAGAATGGGATATTAACTAATTTGTCAGTTGTCTTGTATGGGATAACTCTTTTTTTCTAAGTTCTAAACTGTTGTCTCTAATGGTCCATTGTAAATGATAATTCCTTATTGGCTTTATTACAGCTAAGTTCTATTTTTTCTTGGTTTAGGTACTACAGTTCAACCATCATCAAAATGGCTGGCACAAAAAGCGATGAGGAAGCAATATGGCTTTCCGTTCCTGTTGCTTTCACCAATTTTGCTTTCACTTTAGTCGGAGTTTTTGTGGTTGAGATGATGGGCCGACGGAAACTACTGCTAAGCAGTTTAGCCGGTGTAATCTGTAGCCTGCTATTACTTAGTGTTACATTCTATATAGATCTAAGGCAGTCTCCTAGTGTTACGCTGCGTCCAAATATTAACGACTCATCTTGCACAACAAGGTATGACCATTGTTATTCATGTGTTGAAGATAGTAGCTGTGGATTCTGTTACAGCAAAATTGATGGCGATTTTCTAAATGGTTCGTGTTTGCCAGTTGGATCAAATTACGACACAGACCATGATAAATATGGTTTATGTAATACCACTGATAGCAACCTACACTGGGGATATAACCATTGTCCGTTCGCTTTATCATGGTTAGCCGTGCTTGGGTTGGTCCTCTACCTGGCATGGTTTGCCCCTGGTATGGGACCCATGCCTTGGACAGTGAATTCGGAAATCTACCCCCAATGGGCCAGAAGTTTTGGGAACTCTTGTTCGGCGACAACAAACTGGACTTTCAATCTCCTGGTTTCAATAACATTTCTTCATCTAACAAGACTTTTGACAAAGTGTGGTGCATTTGGATTGTACACTGTGATCGCCTTTATGGGATGGTTGTTTATATACACCTTTGTTCCTGAGACTAAAGGCAAAACTCTGGAGGAAGTTAATAAATTATTTGAAAGACAGAGTTATCATGATAGAAATGGACTTCATTCATCGGTTGGTAGTAGCAATGGTATGTTAGATGAATCAGAATCGTAAATTTGATTTCTGAAATTGGTTAATTAAATTTGGTTATTATAATTAAGTTGACATGACTGATTTGTATACCTACCTACATACATATTTAGTACTTTATTTTATTATTTTTTAATTGTTTTTCCACTTTTACCCCATTGGCCTCGTTTTCATGTTGGCCTCGTTTCCATGTTGGCCTCGTTTCCATGTTGGCCTCGTTTCCATGTTGGCCTCGTTTCCATGTTCGCCTCGTTTCCATGTTCGCCTCGTTTCCATGTTCGCCTCTTTTAGCACGACAAGCGCACATGAACGTTATATTCCCATGTTTCGTGCACGTGAATATGTTTCTCTTTGATCTTGAGCCCAATCACAAACCTATCCTTAAACCTATTGTGTACAAAACATCAGGGAATGGCCACACGAAAACGAGGTCATAGGGGCAAGAGAGCAATTCAGTCTATTGATCTAGTATATATGTATAATAATAATAATATATTATTATTATAACCTACGGTACAGTACAAGATCAATTAATAAATTCATGCATAAAGGGGATTACTATGTTTTAATGTTTTTGCGAGATTTGTTCTGCGAAAACTACACACGCAAAAACTCGCATCTTGTAACAAGTTTGTCAACAAGCCGTCAACAAGTTGTCTTCGCACTGCTTGTCCCAAGTTGTCAACAAGTCTGGAACGAGCTGTTAACAACTTGTGACAACCTTGTTGATATTATCAGGCTTGTTACAAGGTTGTTCCAACAGGTCCGATACAGTCATGATATAGCTGTATTGTTGCAACCTTGTGACGTCAAGCTTGTAACATTCTTGTTATATCAGGACTGTATCAGACTTGTTAGAACAACCTTGTAGCAAGTCTGATAATGCCATCAAGCTTGTTACAAGTTGTTAACAGCTTGTTCCGAACTTGTTACAACAACTGAGAACATGCGCAGGGCGAAGACAACTTGTTGACAGCTTGTGAACAGACCTGACCTGTAACAACTTGTTTGCAGACTTGTAACAACTTGTCCGTTTTTACGTGTGTAGGTCATTGAAGCAAGAGTAAAATTCAGTCTATTGTCTATTAATGTGGTATATATGTATAATATATTATAATCTACGGTGCAGTACAAGATCAATTAATAAATTCATGCATATCCATGGGGATTAGGCCCACTATGTTTTAATGTTTTTGCGAGATTTGGTCTGGAACAGGTACTAACGTTATTGGCTTACGCTGTGTTTAGCCTTCCTGATTGTGTGTGCTTAAAGAGTGTTGATAATTGTATTAACGGCCGAAATTTAATAAATACAAGTCAACAACCTTGTAGACTTCATACTGGAAGCAAAACCCAGCGTTCTCACTTTTAAGGAAACCTCCTTAAACTAAGAAAACGGCATTTTTATAAGGAAATTTAAGATTTTATGTCTGTCATCTTGCGCGAGTAAACTTTCTACTATTTCTTTCCCCTTTTACGTAATAACCTGTTCTAGGCTAAAATTTCACAGCATGTTCTTATATTAACATGTATTGTAAGAATTTGTAACCAATATTCAATATAGAGGCCCCTCAATAGACAATAGAGTCGAAACAAAAAATCATAATTCATAATTAAGATAAAGAAACTGGCAATGTAATTTTGGATACAGTATAATCCAAATGAACTAACTGTTTGTTTGTCTGCTCTACTTTGTGAAGATTTCATTGTCTTTACTATGTGAGCTGGCTATATGTTCGATGTAAATTTTCAAGCAACTTTAAAATATCACTTCAAATTTCAAGAGTTTTAATATCATACACATTTTATATCTTCAACAACAGGTTGCTATGCAAATATTATGATTGGACTTCTAGCTTGAACTGATTAAATTAAACACAGATGGCTGCATCTTCTTAATCTTCCAGCAAAAGAGGACTACATCTTTCTGACATAAGAGCCGCATGCGCTAAAAACCGTCAACCTCATTAATATTGTGACAGTGTCACTTGCTACCTCGAAACAATTTTAGATTGTCTTCTCATGCATGTGAGTATGTGTGCATTATTTCTCATTGACTATATTAAGTACTGTGTTTATTTGACAAAATATTTCAAGCTTTTGAATTTCTTTGAATAGTTACAGTAGCCTATATCATGCGCATTTAATTAAGTTGCTTTGCAATGTTAAATACGATTAATTTTCTTAAATGGCCTCTTAATTTTAACTGACTATCTCATCTCTCGAAGTATTTTTATACAATTATGGGTATATATACAGTGTATCATTTCATAACCTATGCGTGCCATTGTGCATGTTTTCGTTTAATTTTTTCGCATCGTGCGGAAACTCAGCAGGAAGTTGATAAAATATAACGTACATTCCGTATGCACCTCCATTCTTTTTATAAAATACAAAATAATAAAATATTATCAACGTTTCGACTAGTATGCAGTCATCTGAAGACAGAATAAACATAAGCAACACGTTGTCACATATATTCAGAGGGTGATCGCTAGATAGTATACTTCAAAATAAGGTTTCCGCTTTTATAACGTAGAAAAAACTATCCGGCTAACGGAAAACTAAACCCTAACCTTAATACTCACCCTAACTTAACCTAACCTAACCTAACCTAAACCCTAACCTAACCCTAACTTATTTTAAAATTTGATATAAAAACGGAAACCTATCTAGCAATTGCCATATTCAGAGTCTAGAACACTGCCGATCCTGTGACTTCATAGCCACACCAGAGCCCTATAGACCCATTGCACTGACGTCACAAATCCTTACAGTGTCCTCCAGATGCTCCCTAACAATATCTGTTCGGGTACAACAACCACATACATCGTAAAAATTAACCACTTTAATACAAAATGATTATAAAGTTTTACAAAATTTCCTTTGGTTACAAAAGTTATATTATGCATAGATTGCTAATTTGTCCTCCAGATGCATCGTCACCAGCTCTGTGACGTCATGTGCAACGGGTCTATATCTATTCTGTGCCAGAGCGCCGAGGCCACACTGAGCTAGCGGAGTGCTTGCGTCACGACAGTGATGTGACTTAATTTAATTAATTAAGCACTTCTAAAGGTTTATCACAGCATACAGCTGATATTCTCTAGAAATTTGGGGAAACACTGAGCATTTTAATACACAATGCAATAATATTTTATTCAATAAACACTTTTCTTCAAAATTTTACCGTTTTCGGGGTATTGCATTTACTGACGAAATTCCTCTTTCAATGACGCAAATCCGTTTCATTATACCAAGTAACAAACGTGCGCCTTTGCTCACCATGTTCCTTGTATAAAGGGGGTGGATAGTGCAGGTTTGAGTCATCACACAAGTGCAAAACGCAAGGGCTAGACAAGTTAACTTATTTGGCAATTCATTTAAAGGTAAGGCTCTTCAATATAAAAATAATAATTTATTTTAACTCCGTTTGTTTACTTTAACTTTGGGTGGGTTTCACTAAGCCTAACACATAGGGAAACGCTTGGTGGTCGACTTTACACGTATTGACGCTTTATGTTTTGTGGAAGCGAACAAATGTCGCCAAATTGCATGCATTTGCCAAACACAAAGCAATTACAAATATAATGAAAAATTAACTCACTCTGGTAAATGTGTTTCATCTTGGAGTTGATCACCAAGCACTAAATCTACCACGTGACTGAAATCCAGCTATTTAAAGTAGAAATTGTACTACTGCTAAGGATCAAAGCTATCTCCTTAAAGGTGATCTACAGTCCGATCTGCGCATGTGCACAAATGAGCCCACTTTTTATGATACAAACAGTTTAACTATGTTTTGAGTTCTTGAAAAGCCTGATTGTTGTTTCTTGATCATTTATTATACTCTAGAAGCTTGAAAATATAAATAGTTGTCGAATAAAGCTCAATATTTTGGACACAAAAATGTAAACAAATGCTTTGTTTACATACGGACTGTAGATCACCTTTAAAGGAGTTAAAGCTTTCTGGGCGCTATGTACCTCTCTGGAAATCTATGGTATTTTATTATTTTACTCTGGCTATTGCCAGACGACCAATCTTTCGGTCCGAAAAGAGTTCACTTCGATCTTCTCGGTTCAAATGAAATAATTTACCAGATCACAAAGATATTTTGAGCAGGGCGAGTTTCAAGTAGGTAAACGTGCTTATTTGGAGCTAAAATCTTATCCTTGTATCTTTTATGTAGCAACAAAAAAAACGATGTCCAGCTTTGTTTTGTTCTTCAGCATTTTTTTCCTTTCTCTTGTGGCCTCAGGTAATTTTCTTGAACATATAAAGTCGAATAGGTTAAGATGTGTTTTTGTATTCTTTCTCCTTTTCACTCGTGAAATGCGAAGCATATCGCGCGTTGTAATGTACTTTAGCCTGTGTCACAGTTCTCACTCGGCTTGGTCAGACAGACTCGAGATCTGTTAAAGCGCAATTAAAAAATTGCCATATAGCGACGTTCGAGCTCAATTGTTGTCTTATTCCTTTCCTTAATCTTGTCCTTTTCTTTCCTGTTCTTCTTCCCCTTCTCTTCCATCTCTTCTCCATCTTTCATGCTTTTCAGTGTTTTTTCTTTATCTCCTCTTTTTCCTTTTCCTAATTCTCCTCCTTCAACCTCTTCTCCAGGCTCTTCCCTCAACAAGATGGAAGAGCCTGGGAACGAGGTTGCAAATCCTTTTCTTCCTCCTTACACTTCTTCTACTTCCTTTGTTTCTCCTTCTTCTCCCCCCTCTTTCAGTCTTCCTCATCTTTCTCTTTCACCCCTTTCTTCTCCTTCTTTTCGTTCTTCCCCTTCTTCCACCTCTTCACTCCTTCTCTTCGCTTCACTTACATTATTTTGTTATTCAGGTTCCTCACAATTGGGTACCTGCTCGACGAACCCATTAAGAAGCGGTGACAACGACCCCAATTACATCACATGTCACGCTAGAGTGACGTACGATATCGATGTCCGGGTCCGGGGAGTGACGACGACGTTTAACGGTCATGTAGTAACTACATCTTGTGATCCGGACAACGTGTGCAAAATATTTGCTGGAAGGGGGGTGAGCAATCCTCGATGTACAGACGGCTTTTGTTGTCGTGGCGGCAAGCCGTGTAATGGTCAATCTAGTTCAATTTCGGGTGGAGTTCGCATTATGCTTATATTGTCTACTCTGGTAGGTAGTTTTGCGATATACTTGTAATTTTTATTATGTATGCTGTATGTATGTATGTATGTATATTAAGAATTAATGCCTTCATTTATATATCTGTGTAACAAATTGTGTTACAATTAATAATATGACAATAGAGTTACAGTATTGTTCGCGAATGTAATATGTGCTTTTGCCTCAATAATTTAAATGAGTTCTCAGGGGGCCAGAAACATATTTATGCCCAAGCACATCAACTAACCGTAGTTGTCAAGCCTGCATGTACAAATATCGGGTTGCGTTTGTGTCAAAATTATTCACGACCGAGTTATAACTTATTACGTGCAAATAAAGTGAACGAATTATGTTATGAATGAGAATGTCTTTATGTTGCAAATTACAATTACCCTGTATAATAAATGAAGATTTATAACTTATTAATTTGCAGCTACCTAAGTTCTTGCGCTGCGTGCATGCGATGTAATGACTATTTTATTCCACTTTTACCCCTCGTTTATACGTTATATTCCCATGTTTCGTGCACGTGAATATGTTTCTCTTTGATCTTGAGCCCAATCACAAACCTATCCTTAAACCTATTGTGCACAAAACATCAGCGAATGGCCACATGAAAACGAGGCCATTGAGGTAAGAGTGCAATTCAGTCTATGTCTCTATTCATCTAGTATATATATGTATAAGTACTAGATAAAACATGAGCAGCCGATCTGTATTTGATATACAAACTCGAGCCGAAGGCGAGAGTTTGTATATCAGATACAGATCGGATGCGAATCGTACTTAAAAAATGACCCATCTTATTTATGAGTTCATTGGCGAAGTAATTTTAAAAATAAACATTGTGTTAGCCGAGAAAATCAAAGCTGAAGTTTATGTAAATCAGGACAAATCTTTATCCGATTTACAAACATTGATTAATTAAACATTCATTTCTTTTGTATTTTCCTCGTGAATTATTAATGAATTTTTAAATATATTATTACATACGGTACAGTACAAGATCAATTGATAAATTCATGCACATGCAGGAGGATATATATACAGCTGTTTCAAAAAATGTTGTCCTTCAAAAATCTCAAACCTCGGTGCTCAAACACTAAGCGCGCAAGGTGTGATGGGTAACTTCTTACGTGGGGCCTAAAACGTGCGAATTGTGTATTGTAACCATGGCAAGACAGATAATAAGCACTTAAGATGTACAACTAGCAGTGTACTAGGATTATTTGCCCAATCAAAAGCCGTAACAAAAGCGCTTAGAGTTTTAAGGTTTGAGATTTTCGAAGGACAACCTTTTTTGAATTAACTGTATATATATATTTATATAATAACATTTATATATAATAAAGTATATTAAAGATTCAAGCGCTTTCATTGGTCAAGAGCCATGATGTCCATGATCTATTAGAGGACAGACGCACGGTACGCGTGATATTTGTAAAATTTCCAAATGTTTGGGTGGATAAAAAGTAAGCCATTAGGCATTAACCTGTTTAATTCGGGGGTTTTCTTTTTATTATTGGATCATGGGAACGCCTGACCCGCGAACGGGGCATATTCTCCCGTACTAAAATATAACGAGGGACTGTTGAAGAGTCAGATATAAAACAAATAGATAAGATTTTGCCGTTATCTGTTCAGTCATATAGATATATGGCATCACTATTTGGGGCAATGCACGTCATGAGCTTATCGACCCTTTGCTTAAACTTCAAAAAAGAGTAGCCAGATTGGCTTTGGACGAGAGTCATGTCAACTCCTTCTGTTGATCTGTTCCGCAAACTGGAATGGATTCCCATCTACAACTTAATTAAGATGCGAAAAATTTTACTCGTTGTATTAAAGCACCTTGCGCAGCTCATCTCCTAGTGATCTGCGCGAGTTGTTTTGTTTCTCCGGGGCATCGCACGATGTATATGCAGACATACTCGCTCCTCTGTTACTGATCTCAAAATACCATCTGTCAAATCTAATCTTTCCAAGACCAAACTCTCATACAGTGGTGTTTTTCTTTTCAATTCTTTACCAAATGACCTGAAAGTGTTTAACGATTACTCCCCGTCTGCGTATAAGCATAAAGTTAAGAGGTTTTTCTCTAATCTTAATCATGGGGTTGACCCATCTTGAACAATTTTCGTGTCTTTCTTGCAAAAACCTAGTTAAGTGCATTTGTTACTCGCACTGAATTTTCGTTTAATTTTTGTGGGTAGCCGCGCATGCGCAGCTAACCACTATGTGAGAGACTGAAGCGCGATCTTCCGTTTCTCTGTGGCTCTGTGGCTCTGTGGCGCTGTGGCTCTGTGGCGCTGTAGCCTTCGTGTCCGCGGTGTCCTGCTGCGCGGTTCCTTTTATCCTTGAAATACGAACCGTCTATAGACCACAGGCTAAGTTCACTAACGCTCATACCGTACAGAGATGTGTATAAATTCTTAGTAAAGTCTTTATTGTAATATGTTTTGTCAGGTCGATAGTCATTTCCAACGCATATAGAATCGAATATGTCGTTGTTTTTATAATCACTGCTTGTACAAGGGTCATTGGGGTTAATATTAGCGCAAGGGGTCTGTTTTATATCGTGTAATGTCATATTTAAACACGACATATCAGTTTGATCAAACATTTTATACGTATTAGAAAAATATAGTAATTAGTGATATAGCGCGCGACGATTGGACATGCATATTTACGTT